CCTTATCTATGATTCTATCTAAACAACTATAGATAAGCTGAGCAACACAACGAACACAACCTCAAAGTCTAAGTTCAAAGGTATGTCAAAGTTCGTTAAAAATACGGTTAGGAGGACTTGTACAAAGTTGTGCAGGTTTTCTTAATAAAAATAAGCAAATTTACAAAGCAAAAGTAACAATTATAACATGGCAGATGACGAGTTTGAAGGAGATGATGTGGGCGATGATTTTGACGATGACGTTGACGACGAAAACATTGAAGAACTTGAACAACCTGAAGAAGAAGGTGACCATATAGATATATTAGCTCCTGGGCAGGCAGGTGGCGGTGTACCAAAATCAAAACGGATTACAACAAAGTATATGACAAAATATGAAAGAGCCAGAGTGTTAGGAACCAGAGCATTGCAGATAGCAATGTGTGCTCCTGTTATGGTTGAGTTAGAAGGTGAAACTGACCCACTTCAAATAGCAATGAAAGAACTGAAGCAACGCAAAATACCTATTATCATTAGAAGATACTTGCCAGATAATTCCTATGAAGATTGGGGTATTGATGAATTGATAATAATAGATCATTAAAAATCTGCCTTCACAACATACATGTAAATTGAGAAAGAATGTTCAACATCAATTTAACATTTGAGAGACTTTACTTTTTTATTATGACTAAATCAATTAATACATATTTTTTGTATATAGTTGAAGTTAATATTAAAGGTCAATATATGAAAAAGTAAATATCTTTTATTTAATGATAATAAATAATGAGTTTGGTAAAGTCAACAAATTTAGTCTTGCACTTCATATATATTCTGATATCTTTGCTTTGTATCAAATACTTCATGATCAGTTGGTGTAAACTTAGTAGGAGGGATTAAAGCTGCTGCTATGTACCGCCCTTCAGAATTTAAAAAATTAAAGGTAGAACAAGCCTGATCTGTTGGAAGAATTTCTAAGTTTATCTTATGCTTTTTGAGAAAAGGAAATATTTTCTTGTGAAAAGATGTATCTTCAATTTTATCGCCTGTACCTAAAACTAGAAGATCAATCTTAGGTTCCAGTACTGTAAATAAACTTAATGACTCTTCTGTTATGTCGTTTATACTTCCAACGTTCCAAGAGAGAGCAGACCTATAAAATAAGGAGAATTATTACAAAACATATCTCTTACATAGGCCCTCAACGTACCGAGGAAATAAGATAACAGGTCCTAATATTGTAAAATCGTTATTTAATCTAAAACCAACCTGTGAATAAACAATTAATCAAAAATGTTGGTTATACATACAACATGAATTACCTCGCTGTAACTATTTATCATAAGACCCAAATCAAGTTCGTTATTTAGAATAGAAACTGTGGATTTCATGCTCTCTTGGTCGTTATATTTCACAGTGCTTTGTGAAATATATCTAAAAAAATAAAAAGGGGAAACAACCATTTTCGTTTTGTTTGAAGTAAGTAATAATCAATTAAAATACCTTAACAGCCTTGAATTTATCTTTGTAATATCTCGATAAACGGTTCTAAATAAGCACCACACATTGTTTTAGCGACATTGAGGTAAAGCTTATTAGATCACAAGAACTTCAGCTCGAAGACTGAAATATTGGTATTGAAAGGTACTTAAAAAATTAATATCTTTAAAAATTAAATTTTTTTGCTGTAATCACAGCATTATCAATTAACTTTTGATAAAATTTATCAATGCTGTCTAGTAGCAGCATACCTATCTATACTTTTCAAATGTTTAACATTATTCGAAATATTTTTTCACTCAATTTTTATGAAACTAAACTGTACAGGGTGTCTTATAATGTGCTAACAAGACGAATTTAAATTAAAAAAAAATTCTGGTTAATAAATCTGCAAAAGGAATTTTACCTGAAGAAGTTGTTCAAGAGACATTATATTTTGTTAATGAGTATTCATTAATTAAATTTGATAGCACAAAAACATTAACTTCGGCGATTCGTAGAAAAAAACTTTCAAAATATGTCTTATGGTGATAGAAGAACACTTAAATATGTATAATTCTCACTGAAAGTCAATCATAATTTAGATAGATACCTAATTAGTTAGGGGATGAGGAGCCATGTCCCTCAGAAAAATTATACGAATACCGAATGGACTCTTAGAAAGATAGAAGACAATTAACTGACTTTTTTTGATTAAATAACGAAATAATGTATTTTTTGTGAACTGTTATCTTGATAGCTAACGTTTGAATCACTACCGCTTTATTAAATTAAATTTATTTGCTTAAGTTTCACTTTTAATGTTTCTTTTTGTATTCGCTTATCCTCCACTTTCAATTACACTCGGCTGGAATATTACAACTGATAAAATCAAATTGAATTGATGAAAACATTAATAGCACAACTGCGTACTTACGTGATAGCAAAGGTTTTCACAAACCAAATGAAGATGAATATTGGCCAGTAATGCACCTTAAATTTAATTCCGCACAACGAAACCATTTTCTCTTTGCAAATTATTCAGCCTCACAAACGAAAGCGAGGTGAATATCGTTAGATTCGTCGAGTTTAATAAATAGCAGAATTTTTCTAAAGATATTTATCGATTATGTTGGTTCGACTTATCTTTGGTTTTGATGGAAAGCTGGGATCATATCGTTTTGAACTTGGATAAGTGTAAGCAACAAAATTCGGTTAATTTTTTTTTACATTTTACTGCAAACACAGATTATCTGTTAAGATAAACAACCGTGAATAAGGACATATGGCGCGTCTCTATGTAAGTCCTTCAATTTTATATAAATAAACGTTCGCTAGCAGTGAAATAATGTATCTACTAACAAAAATTTTCACTGACGCAAGATTTAAAATGACAACCAAATAAATTTGAAATACCTGTAATTATACAACAGGTACACACCCAGGGTCGGATTTACACAGCAGTTTTAGGGGTTTCCACGAAAACGCAAAAAAAAATTTAATGACAAAAAACACTCTTATTAACTCTATTCACATCGACACCAACCAGAAGCTTTGAATCTATATATATATATGTACATACATAGATACAAATGGTCAAAGCTTTATATTTCAATTATAGGAGACCTTGACCAGCAAGTTGCACAGTTGGAAAAGTCCTAGTGCGGCCCTGTACATACTTACCGTCGTTGAATGATTAGAAAATTAGTAAGCGAATTTATTGTTTATTGATAATCCAATGGTTTAATGGCTAATTACTTGATATGAAAAGCAAAATTCCGTTTCACATAATCGCTTTGAGTAACCAATTGTAAGATAAAAAGGAAAAATTATAAAACGCAAAATTTAATGACCTGCATAATTTAATTATGATACCTTTATTAGCATATTAATTAGCGTTTATTTTTTGTAACAAAACGTTTTCGATAAATTCCAAGATGCATTTGAAACAAGATATAGTTTAGAAAATTAGTAAAGTAATCTGTATCAGACCTTGCACAACATATTGAACCGTTAAAGCAATCAGAAAAAAAGTAAAAATTCAGGTAAGCCAGAAGCCTAAGAACTACTCACATCATTAGCTCACAGGCAGCTTCCTGGGACCAATACATTTCCGACAAATAAAAATGTATACTGAAAGTACAGGGTACATCCTTGAATAACACTTTATTGAAATAAATACTTATAAAATAAAAAGAACAAACTTAATTTGTGTAATTAGATTAATTAATCGTCATGAATCCATAAGTGCGTATTGTACTTGAATTGGGAACCACACCTGACCTTGTTATATTTGTGAATATTTACTTTCAAATCTAATTTCTCTAAACCTCATGTTCCTGAATTCTTTCGTAAAAGTGGCAATATACAATAGTTCTATTAATACTACAATCCATTGGGAAAATGCAGATGCTACCTTATATTTGAAACCTCCAATGTCAGGAGTGTATTGTCTTGGCAGTACAAGGACTAGTTCTCCTTGGGCATTTTGTTTATACACCGCTTTGGCTAAAAATAAACAGAAATGTTAATTAAAAAATCCGCTATCTTTACAAATTGTAATATAACGAGTAACCTAGGAAATGGTGTCAAGAAGAAGCAAGTCAAACCTCAAGAGATGCATATGTAGGTACAGAGTATGATCAGTACCAAATATTCTTTTGTAGTTTCCTACTTTGTCCAGACTTTTAGATTCAAAAATGATCTGGTTAAATATTCCATGCTCTGGTACTTGTAGTTGCCTCAAATCATCTATCCTGATGATCGCCAAAATGTTCTCCTAAATTTTAGTGTTATATAAGGTCAATCAATCTTAAGATACTTGTGTGATTCCACGCTAGGTATTGGTCGACCTTCGTCTCGAATGTCGAGGATTAACGGATGCAGCAAAGGTGATATGGACACATTGTTTTAGCGACATTGAGGTAAAGCTTATTAGATCACAAGAACTTCAGCTCGAAGACTGGTTGGGCACGCACCTCTATTTCTTCCTAACTTAAGCCAGTTTTCTCGTTCCTGGAGTAACCTAAACCTCTAACTATTTGCAAATAGTAATCTAATCTAGGTCTACCTCTGTTCCTTTTAACTCCAACTTCTGCCACTAATATATGTTTCTAACAAATTCTTCATGTCTGAGAATCTATCTCGCCTATTTCTTTTTCAATTCTATTGTGAACGAATGCCGAAGGCAGCGATCGATATGGTAGTACTACTTAGATGTTCTTTTACGTTTGTTATTCTCTTTTCTCAATGTTCCTGTTTGAGGAAATTTTGTTACATGGTGTGAATTGCTCTTGGGATCCTAAACCTTTTTGTTTCCGCTTAACACTGTTTCCTAGGTCATTCTACATATACATACATATATCTAGAAAGAACTTACCATCATATAACGCCGCCGCCTTATACGCACATACTTTATAACTAATGAATGCGGCAAAAAACGAAACCACTAAAAACACCCTAAAGGAGAACATGGAAAATGCCAATTTAGACGTGCCAGTAGTCGCATTGCGATATAGAATTACGTACTTCCAAGAAATTACAGTCTGAAAAACGTTTTTGTCACAATATTAAACCAAAAAATAATGTATTTAAAATGAATACCACAATTTTTACTCGCGACGTTTCGTCAACGATTTATTGTTGACCTCTTCAGACGATAAACTACACAACACTGTGCTGTTTAATAAAGAAGAGGAGTTGAAGTAATTTAGTAAGAAAGTTCGTTGTTTTCTCGCTGTTTGTTCCTTTTTTTCATTAATAGTAATTACAATCTACTCACTTGTAAAATGCAATACACTGCTCCAATTAGGAATGCTACCATTGCCGCATAAATATGCAATTTACTAACATAGTCAGCATTCAGTTGAAAATTAGCTACCAAACTTAAACCTAGGCATTTTAACCAACCCAGACATAAGCCAACAATATTTAATTTCGTTGTCGCCGGACTATTAATTAAACCGCCATTAATTACCGCGTCTACTTCCCGATACCTCACATAAACGGTCACAGATACTTAAAATAGACATAGAAGACTTTTATTTTATGTGACGTAGGTGATGAATTTTAGTTTAATGATTATTGAAATAACTTACAAAATATTATCCCTATATTCAAAAATTGAGCGAAAACGCAGCTTTCGGGTGCTAAATCTCCTGTATCACTAATATACGGGAAGAGCCAGTAAATGTGATCGTGATAGAGAGCTACTGCGTATCTGAAAATGTACAAATTGAGATTCAATTTGAATTTAAATCTGTCGCAGGTACCTTTTATTGTAGCGCCAATAAAATACCAGTCAATAAATTGTGTGGTCTAATTATAAAATTATCTACTTATTTAACTGAAAAACAAAAGAAGATACCCTCCTTTAATAATTATAATCAATTATTATTAACTTATGCGTTATTAAAATTATTTGCCCATATTTCGCTCGTCTTCCTCTTAAAAGTCAAAACACATTAGTAGCATAATTGTGTACTTACGAGATAACAAAAGTTACCACAAACCATATGAAAGTGAGTGTCGGCCAATAATGCACCTTAAATTTAATTCTGCCCAATGAAACTCCCATTTCCTTTTTGGAAACTGTCTACTATCTACAACGAAACAAGGAAAGCCGTCACGTGAGTACCTACCATATGGTTCCAACCAGAAAAGACTTTTAAATCATCAACAAAGTGTCTTTGAATGTATGCGGTGGCATCATGTAGTTGGACCACATTTTTTAAGAAATTTTCGCATTTTCTGCCAATCGATTTGCCAGAAATGTTTGAAAGATTTGCCATATACTCTGGACCAACAGATATGATAACGCAATAGGTCACTCGAGCGTTTTGAGAGGGTTGTAAAATTGTAAAGAATGGCCTTGATGCAGAATTCCCAAACAAGTGGATTGGAAGAGGAGATGAGATTCGATACCATGACCAATAACGCTATCTTCATACATATTTAGCAAAACTTGATCTTTACTTGTGGTGTCATATTAAGCAATTATTTGCTTCTATTACTCAACCGCAAATTTCCTAACAATTTGGGCAGAAAATATACGTTAAAATTTTCCTTAGAAAATGTAGTCCTTCTGTGCGTCAAAATCCGTGACACCACCCCATAGGTACTCTCAAAAAGGCACCAATGTCGGTGATTCAAGTGCTTTTTCTACTAAGGATTCGTAGTATAATAGTAATAGTAGTAGGTGACTTGGCAGTTAAAAAAAATACATATTACTTACATGCACAAGCAACTTGTTTTATTTCTGTGGGGTACATTTGTATAATGCTGATGATTTCAAATAAACATCGAATAACCAATTTGTCAAACGAATATTTTTGGGACAACAAAAACAAAATCGCAAAAACGGTAATCTGGGTTAACACGATAACACGATATTATTTTCTCAAAAACTGCGGGTAACAGATATAAACAGTTCTATATAAGTAGAAAGGAAATTTAATTTTTCTATTCTCCGATTTGAGAAAAAATATTCTGTGCCATTTTAAAAAAATTACTTATCCCTATTTGAATTTGTAAATAAAATTTTATATTTTAAAAAATACGTATTCATCATGTAGTATCAGTAAATGATAGACTATTCCATCCACAAATCAATCACTTTCCTCAAAATGGTTCCAGATTCGATGTCATATTAATAAAGCGCCATTTATTTTTTACGGAGATTTTAAAAGTGTAATAAAAAGTACGAGATTCTATGNACAATAAATATGTAGTTTTGTTAAGGTGTTAATTAGTTTAGTTATAATTGTCATTTATTCATAAGTGTGCATTTTAGTTGCATTGACAACTACATTAGACCTTGTTGTATTTTTGAATATTTGCATTCAAACCCAATTTCCCTAAACCTCATGTATTTGAATTCTTTTGTAAAAGTGGCAATATACAATAGTTCCATTAACACTAAAATCCATTCTGCAAATACCGCTGCCAGCCTAAGTTCGAAACCTCCATCATCAGGGGTCCAATAAATTACAGAATCGCCTATAAGTAAGCAGAAATTTTTAGAAATGTTTAGAATTATTACGATAGCATTGCGTGAAAACAATACGTCATTATTAATTAAAATAGTGACATAATAATGAGTGGCCTACGAGATGATGTCAAGCAAGAATTGATAAATGACAGGGTGTTTTCCTTGAAAGTAATTGTATTCGCCGATTTTCCCTGTATGAAATTCAAAGTCCCAGTCTTGAGAAAGACTTTTTTTAATTTTGAAAAAACACTGTGTCGAATTCAATAAATTCCAATACTATTAATGGTACATTATTGACATTCAAATTTTTTTCTTCGGCAAACTTTCCCATCTTTTCTCTCTTAAAACGATGAACTTCTTGATAGTCTCAAAATTGTGATTTCTTTTTCTCAAAGGTCCTATTTTAGATGACGTGAATTACAATTTAAGCTTTGAACAACCCTTGATATCTATACATCCCTGTTTTTACTTTACATTATTTCCTAGAGCACTGTGTATAGAAATACGATAAAACTTACCTGTAAATTGCGTTATTGCCAAAACCCCACATACTGTACAAATAAAGTAAACGGGGAGGAACAAAACTGACAAAACCACTCTAAAGTAGAAAGTTTTACGTCCTAATTTAAAATTACCAGTAGTCACATTGGGATTAGGAGCTAAATAGTGCCGCGAAATTATACTCTGGAAAAGATTGATAAAAATTAACATTAAAATTACATTTGTACGTTCGTATTAAATTTTATCAAAAAATATATATAAACATAGCCCCATTCCATGGAGCAATATCCAGAGGGTAGTTTGGGTCACTTCATACCCTTCAGTGAGTCCGAGAGAGTGGACAGTAATGACCCATATTGCTTTCTCGTTTTCTTCTCTGTTCCACTCCCATAGCAAACTCCTCCATCCCGTAGGCAAGCGAAACCCCTCTCGCAGCCTAAATATTACTTACGAAAATTTTCTAATGAGCGTCCCGCAGCTCAAAGGGAAAAAAACCAAGAGAAAGCAATATGTATCATTATTGCTTACTCTCTCGTACTCATTGAGGGGTATGGAGTGACCCAAACTACCCTCAGGTAGCTGCTCTGCTGTAGTGTAGAGTCGTGATTATTACCTAATGAAGACCTACATTATATCCTTTGTAATTCCCCGCCCTACCGTCTCTATCTTATTGTATCTCATTATTTATTTAAGTAAAATTTTTCATGACGAAGCAGTTCTGTTTTTTAAATTTTGAAGAATTAATCAATCCCTCGACTTTTCAGCAAAAATCTTCATCAGCAAAACGTCAGAAAATCCTTGCCCAATAATAATCTTTGGAAACGATGAGTGAGAGACCTAAAGCTCCAATAGAAACACGATATTTTACTCCAACAATACAACCTGTTATTGCAATATAAAAACAGCCTCTTTATCTTATCAATCAGTTTTATCGAAAATCGCGCTCATATTTATTGGGTAATCTCATTATTGTTAATACCTGTTGAAAAATAAAACTGATCTTTGAACAGAGCTTTCAATTCAGAGAGGTATTGATAAAATTTATCAAAGTATAGGATACTTTTAGGTGTAAAATGTATCTTAAATGAATCCTGTATTTGAGGGGGGCAAACTTCCGGACGAGGATAGCTTTGTTCCCGTATTTTAATATCCTCCGTCTGAAAATTGCCACCTGAGACGAAAGCGAGGGCGAAAACCAAGCGGGGGATGGTACAATACTTTTAAAATGACCCCTGAAATCAGAAAAAAGTATCGTACCTATCTACTTTTGATATGGATACATGTAGTGAAACACACCAAGGGAACGTATTTCTCACTCGAGAGGAAGTTGAAAGAGGCAAACTCCCGAGAGGGAGTTATAACTATAAGTAGATATAGATTTACTAAATATATATTTTAATATGTACCCAAGAGAGCCATGTTGAGTTAGTTTAATTGTCCCCTTTTTTTTCAGTTTTCTATCTTCTTTTTCTAGAGAAGTAAATATTAGGATGGGAGTCAGACAGGGATGCACACTGTCACCGCTACTTTTTAATCTATACATCGAAGACGCGATCAACATAATTAAAGACAGTACAACCGTAGGAATAGATATACAGGGGAAAAAGATTAGTATGCTTAGATTTGCAGATGATATGGCAGTATTAGCATCTAGCAAGGAGGACCTAGAGATAGCTTTAAATAAAATGGAAGCGGTACTGACATATCAGTACTGTATGAAAATAAATAAAAGTAAAACTAAAATACTGGTATNTTTGTAACAAAACGTTTTCGATAAATTCCAAGATGCATTTGAAACAAGATATAGTTTAGAAAATTAGTAAAGTAATCTGTATCAGACCTTGCACAACATATTGAACCGTTAAAGCAATCAGAAAAAAAGTAAAAATTCAGGTAAGCCAGAAGCCTAAGAACTACTCACATCATTAGCTCACAGGCAGCTTCCTGGGACCAATACATTTCCGACAAATAAAAATGTATACTGAAAGTACAGGGTACATCCTTGAATAACACTTTATTGAAATAAATACTTATAAAATAAAAAGAACAAACTTAATTTGTGTAATTAGATTAATTAATCGTCATGAATCCATAAGTGCGTATTGTACTTGAATTGGGAACCACACCTGACCTTGTTATATTTGTGAATATTTACTTTCAAATCTAATTTCTCTAAACCTCATGTTCCTGAATTCTTTCGTAAAAGTGGCAATATACAATAGTTCTATTAATACTACAATCCATTGGGAAAATGCAGATGCTACCTTATATTTGAAACCTCCAATGTCAGGAGTGTATTGTCTTGGCAGTACAAGGACTAGTTCTCCTTGGGCATTTTGTTTATACACCGCTTTGGCTAAAAATAAACAGAAATGTTAATTAAAAAATCCGCTATCTTTACAAATTGTAATATAACGAGTAACCTAGGAAATGGTGTCAAGAAGAAGCAAGTCAAACCTCAAGAGATGCATATGTAGGTACAGAGTATGATCAGTACCAAATATTCTTTTGTAGTTTCCTACTTTGTCCAGACTTTTAGATTCAAAAATGATCTGGTTAAATATTCCATGCTCTGGTACTTGTAGTTGCCTCAAATCATCTATCCTGATGATCGCCAAAATGTTCTCCTAAATTTTAGTGTTATATAAGGTCAATCAATCTTAAGATACTTGTGTGATTCCACGCTAGGTATTGGTCGACCTTCGTCTCGAATGTCGAGGATTAACGGATGCAGCAAAGGTGATATGGACACATTGTTTTAGCGACATTGAGGTAAAGCTTATTAGATCACAAGAACTTCAGCTCGAAGACTGGTTGGGCACGCACCTCTATTTCTTCCTAACTTAAGCCAGTTTTCTCGTTCCTGGAGTAACCTAAACCTCTAACTATTTGCAAATAGTAATCTAATCTAGGTCTACCTCTGTTCCTTTTAACTCCAACTTCTGCCACTAATATATGTTTCTAACAAATTCTTCATGTCTGAGAATCTATCTCGCCTATTTCTTTTTCAATTCTATTGTGAACGAATGCCGAAGGCAGCGATCGATATGGTAGTACTACTTAGATGTTCTTTTACGTTTGTTATTCTCTTTTCTCAATGTTCCTGTTTGAGGAAATTTTGTTACATGGTGTGAATTGCTCTTGGGATCCTAAACCTTTTTGTTTCCGCTTAACACTGTTTCCTAGGTCATTCTACATATACATACATATATCTAGAAAGAACTTACCATCATATAACGCCGCCGCCTTATACGCACATACTTTATAACTAATGAATGCGGCAAAAAACGAAACCACTAAAAACACCCTAAAGGAGAACATGGAAAATGCCAATTTAGACGTGCCAGTAGTCGCATTGCGATATAGAATTACGTACTTCCAAGAAATTACAGTCTGAAAAACGTTTTTGTCACAATATTAAACCAAAAAATAATGTATTTAAAATGAATACCACAATTTTTACTCGCGACGTTTCGTCAACGATTTATTGTTGACCTCTTCAGACGATAAACTACACAACACTGTGCTGTTTAATAAAGAAGAGGAGTTGAAGTAATTTAGTAAGAAAGTTCGTTGTTTTCTCGCTGTTTGTTCCTTTTTTTCATTAATAGTAATTACAATCTACTCACTTGTAAAATGCAATACACTGCTCCAATTAGGAATGCTACCATTGCCGCATAAATATGCAATTTACTAACATAGTCAGCATTCAGTTGAAAATTAGCTACCAAACTTAAACCTAGGCATTTTAACCAACCCAGACATAAGCCAACAATATTTAATTTCGTTGTCGCCGGACTATTAATTAAACCGCCATTAATTACCGCGTCTACTTCCCGATACCTCACATAAACGGTCACAGATACTTAAAATAGACATAGAAGACTTTTATTTTATGTGACGTAGGTGATGAATTTTAGTTTAATGATTATTGAAATAACTTACAAAATATTATCCCTATATTCAAAAATTGAGCGAAAACGCAGCTTTCGGGTGCTAAATCTCCTGTATCACTAATATACGGGAAGAGCCAGTAAATGTGATCGTGATAGAGAGCTACTGCGTATCTGAAAATGTACAAATTGAGATTCAATTTGAATTTAAATCTGTCGCAGGTACCTTTTATTGTAGCGCCAATAAAATACCAGTCAATAAATTGTGTGGTCTAATTATAAAATTATCTACTTATTTAACTGAAAAACAAAAGAAGATACCCTCCTTTAATAATTATAATCAATTATTATTAACTTATGCGTTATTAAAATTATTTGCCCATATTTCGCTCGTCTTCCTCTTAAAAGTCAAAACACATTAGTAGCATAATTGTGTACTTACGAGATAACAAAAGTTACCACAAACCATATGAAAGTGAGTGTCGGCCAATAATGCACCTTAAATTTAATTCTGCCCAATGAAACTCCCATTTCCTTTTTGGAAACTGTCTACTATCTACAACGAAACAAGGAAAGCCGTCACGTGAGTACCTACCATATGGTTCCAACCAGAAAAGACTTTTAAATCATCAACAAAGTGTCTTTGAATGTATGCGGTGGCATCATGTAGTTGGACCACATTTTTTAAGAAATTTTCGCATTTTCTGCCAATCGATTTGCCAGAAATGTTTGAAAGATTTGCCATATACTCTGGACCAACAGATATGATAACGCAATAGGTCACTCGAGCGTTTTGAGAGGGTTGTAAAATTGTAAAGAATGGCCTTGATGCAGAATTCCCAAACAAGTGGATTGGAAGAGGAGATGAGATTCGATACCATGACCAATAACGCTATCTTCATACATATTTAGCAAAACTTGATCTTTACTTGTGGTGTCATATTAAGCAATTATTTGCTTCTATTACTCAACCGCAAATTTCCTAACAATTTGGGCAGAAAATATACGTTAAAATTTTCCTTAGAAAATGTAGTCCTTCTGTGCGTCAAAATCCGTGACACCACCCCATAGGTACTCTCAAAAAGGCACCAATGTCGGTGATTCAAGTGCTTTTTCTACTAAGGATTCGTAGTATAATAGTAATAGTAGTAGGTGACTTGGCAGTTAAAAAAAATACATATTACTTACATGCACAAGCAACTTGTTTTATTTCTGTGGGGTACATTTGTATAATGCTGATGATTTCAAATAAACATCGAATAACCAATTTGTCAAACGAATATTTTTGGGACAACAAAAACAAAATCGCAAAAACGGTAATCTGGGTTAACACGATAACACGATATTATTTTCTCAAAAACTGCGGGTAACAGATATAAACAGTTCTATATAAGTAGAAAGGAAATTTAATTTTTCTATTCTCCGATTTGAGAAAAAATATTCTGTGCCATTTTAAAAAAATTACTTATCCCTATTTGAATTTGTAAATAAAATTTTATATTTTAAAAAATACGTATTCATCATGTAGTATCAGTAAATGATAGACTATTCCATCCACAAATCAATCACTTTCCTCAAAATGGTTCCAGATTCGATGTCATATTAATAAAGCGCCATTTATTTTTTACGGAGATTTTAAAAGTGTAATAAAAAGTACGAGATTCTATGTAAAATAACGAAGCTAGGGCACACTTGAAAGTATTTTTATGTTATTGCGCACTTAATTCTGCACACAACTTCTACTTGAAATATTTTTTCGTATTTTGAACTATACGTAAATCACCACAGATTAAGTATAACACAAACCACTATACTTTAGGGACTTACCCTGTATATAATGATCGGCTCAGAAAGTTCCTTCAAGTGCGGCAACATACATAGCAGGTTCGTTCAGATTTACTCTTATGCAACCCATTTTACTTCTAACGTAAATTATGTTTTTTTTTTAATTAAGAAACTTTTGTGTCTTTAGGGTCCATATCAGTATACTTTATTGAAATAATAAACAGTTACAAAGATACAAAAAAAATCCGTATAAATTATAGGTAATTATAAATACAAATGAAATTTGTTTAAATATTCAAACACAATCAAGAATGTGGCCAGAATATAAAGGACGGAGATAAATTATCTGTACAGTAAGGAAAACGCATATTTAACTTCTCTAAACTAACAAAAAACCTCTACTAAAGTCATTATAATGAGGGCAATATTACAATAAACAAATCATAATTTTTAATTAATTTCATAATTTCTTTTACTCTGTTTTAAAAATAAATAAAAACTCGAACGATTTATACATTAGCATTCTTTAATATTGTGATATAATTGTTAAAATAAAATACAGGCTTGTTTTCAGTATTCCAATCTCTGAAGGGTCTTAAATTTACAAAAGGGTTTTCAACACAATCAAGAAAAAAAGTTAAATTATCACAGGAGCATTTTAATATATTCGTGTCTTTAATTATTTCATTTTTAGTATAAGCTGTAAGAAGAATAGGTACATTCACATTTTTTAATAAACAAGATATGGATGGGAGCCAAGTGTCTAAATCTTTTTGATTTTCAAATTCATGAAGCCCACTGTTAAGTAGCAAAATGAAATCTGGTTTCCTTAAATTATTTTCAGCATTATGATATAAATCTTGAACAACTTCAACATCAACTTTTCTTTCTAAATTTATGCATTCACAACAATAAGTCAAAGGGTCCACACATTCTAATAAACTTGCATTACAAGTTGGTCCAATTAAATAAACTTTTAAATATACCAAATTTATAATATAATGAAAAACTACTTCAGATATAATTCCCCAATCAAATGTTATTTCTGTGTTACAAGCCCCAACAACATGAAGAACTACTTCGGGCTTGTCAATCTTTCTTTCTTTTATTATTTTACAAATTCTTAAAGTGTTGAGTATGTTGGCACTTAAAGCTATCAGTTCATACTTTAAAACTAATTCTTTATCTTTTTGAAAAGTAATTCCTTTATTGTTTTCTTCCAAAACACAATTTAAGAATTCAAAATTATTTTCTGGAAACCCAACGTAATTAGCCGGTATGGAGGCTACTTTGGAAATAGGATACTGCTTTATTTGAAACAGTTCCACATCAGTTTTCATACAAAGGCTTAATTCTTTACAGTATCTTTCATGACATGATTCAAATTTTTCCTGATGTTCTTTAGAACAAAAATAAACATTTAAACATTCTGAACAAACTACTGTAATGTCTTCTGAATAACATATGCTGCAAACTGGTAAAAACATCCATATTTGGTTCTCATAAGAAAGAAGTTCCCGTTTAAGAATATTTCTCCATTTAGAGTGTAGTTTAAGACGGTGCTCAATCCAACTTTGAAAGGAAAATATTTTTTTGTTATTAAAAGAATCCCTTGTTAACGAAATAGCTGTGCATATACTCTTATGCATTAGCCAATCCAGTTTCTGGTGCTCTTTTGAACAATAACCTACACATTTACACTTTTTACAGTGTTTTACGTTTATTCTTTCTTTACAAACATGACACAAACTATAATAATAAAAGTCATAATAATTCATTACAAAAATAATTGTTTTTACACTTTTAAACACAATACCTTCTCTTCTTGTTTTTATTTACATATGATCATAGCATATGATCCATTCATAGATAAGTGTTTTCATTCATAATATAAATTCATTCATGTTTTCAAATTGATCAGCATTGCCAGACATACCATAGTTACCACTTTATACCATAATTCTAGAAGCAAATCAATAATCATTTTGCTGAGCAATAACTGTAATATAATTTTGCAATTGACCCCATTTCATTCGAAAATTTGAGTACAATAAATTAGCATGAGTCCGAAGAAATGTGTTCTACTAAATTATGGTAAAAGCGACAGTTTTTTTTTTTCGTTTTTTTTTTTTTATAATGATCTAATAATCCTTTACGAAGTATGTATTAAAAACTGTTATCGTATTAAAAGTTGATTTGTTGCGCCGTGTATTTCTATCATCAATTTAAATCTTGCTGGCCCGGCAACGTTGATTCCATTCTATCCTTATCTATGATTCTATCTAAACAACTATAGATAAGCTGAGCAACACAACGAACACAACCTCAAAGTCTAAGTTCAAAGGTATGTCAAAGTTCGTTAAAAATACGGTTAGGAGGACTTGTACAAAGTTGTGCAGGTTTTCTTAATAAAAATAAGCAAATTTACAAAGCAAAAGTAACAATTATAACATGGCAGATGACGAGTTTGAAGGAGATGATGTGGGCGATGATTTTGACGATGACGTTGACGACGAAAACATTGAAGAACTTGAACAACCTGAAGAAGAAGGTGACCATATAGATATATTAGCTCCTGGGCAGGCAGGTGGCGGTGTACCAAAATCAAAACGGATTACAACAAAGTATATGACAAAATATGAAAGAGCCAGAGTGTTAGGAACCAGAGCATTGCAGATAGCAATGTGTGCTCCTGTTATGGTTGAGTTAGAAGGTGAAACTGACCCACTTCAAATAGCAATGAAAGAACTGAAGCAACGCAAAATACCTATTATCATTAGAAGATACTTGCCAGATAATTCCTATGAAGATTGGGGTATTGATGAATTGATAATAATAGATCATTAAAAATCTGCCTTCACAACATACATGTAAATTGAGAAAGAATGTTCAACATCAATTTAACATTTGTACGTATTCATCATGTAGTATCAGTAAATGATAGACTATTCCATCCACAAATCAATCACTTTCCTCAAAATGGTTCCAGATTCGATGTCATATTAATAAAGCGCCATTTATTTTTTACGGAGATTTTAAAAGTGTAATAAAAAGTACGAGATTCTATGTAAAATAACGAAGCTAGGGCACACTTGAAAGTATTTTTATGTTATTGCGCACTTAATTCTGCACACAACTTCTACTTGAAATATTTTTTCGTATTTTGAACTATACGTAAATCACCACAGATTAAGTATAACACAAACCACTATACTTTAGGGACTTACCCTGTATATAATGATCGGCTCAGAAAGTTCCTTCAAGTGCGGCAACATACATAGCAGGTTCGTTCAGATTTACTCTTATGCAACCCATTTTACTTCTAACGTAAATTATGTTTTTTTTTTAATTAAGAAACTTTTGTGTCTTTAGGGTCCATATCAGTATACTTTATTGAAATAATAAACAGTTACAAAGATACAAAAAAAATCCGTATAAATTATAGGTAATTATAAATACAAATGAAATTTGTTTAAATATTCAAACACAATCAAGAATGTGGCCAGAATATAAAGGACGGAGATAAATTATCTGTACAGTAAGGAAAACGCATATTTAACTTCTCTAAACTAACAAAAAACCTCTACTAAAGTCATTATAATGAGGGCAATATTACAATAAACAAATCATAATTTTTAATTAATTTCATAATTTCTTTTACTCTGTTTTAAAAATAAATAAAAACTCGAACGATTTATACATTAGCATTCTTTAATATTGTGATATAATTGTTAAAATAAAATACAGGCTTGTTTTCAGTATTCCAATCTCTGAAGGGTCTTAAATTTACAAAAGGGTTTTCAACACAATCAAGAAAAAAAGTTAAATTATCACAGGAGCATTTTAATATATTCGTGTCTTTAATTATTTCATTTTTAGTATAAGCTGTAAGAAGAATAGGTACATTCACATTTTTTAATAAACAAGATATGGATGGGAGCCAAGTGTCTAAATCTTTTTGATTTTCAAATTCATGNCAATTAATAATTACTTAAAGTAAAGCAATATAATTTACAATTTTGAATGATCCAAAAAGTATCTTTTCTATGATTATCAACTAGTCAACCAGTCTCGCGCCTTTTAATCGCCCAACAAGAAGAGGAAGAAGAGTCAACAAGTTCAACGTTGCGTAAAATCCATGTTGTTTGCGGCGAGTGTTGCTAATTTTGTGAAATGGCAAACATAATTTTGGATAAAGAAGCATTTTATCGGCGATTAAAAAGGCTTTATTCCGCCTGGCAAAATGCCGATGGAGAAAATGAACTTTCAAAAGCGGATTGTTTGGTAACCGCTGTCGGTGTTGATGATGAAATTGTTTACAGTAAATCAGGGGCCCTACAAACATGGCTTTTGGGATACGAACTTACCGACACAATTATGGTCCTGACGGAGAATACGGCACATTTCCTTGCCAGTAGAAATAAAATAGATTTCTTGAAACAAGCAGAAAATGGGAAAGAAGACAATGAAGTGACTTTAAAATTGTTGGTTAGGGATCGTAACGACAAAGATGAAAATAATTTCAATACGTTAATAAAGGCTATTAAAGCTAGTAAAGGGGGTAAAATCCTTGGTGTTTTTATTAAAGATAACTACCCTGGTGAATTTATGGATTTATGGCGAGCTCGGATAAAGAAGGAACAATTTGAGACTGTCAATATAAGTGCTGCAATTGCGTATATTATGGCCCCCAAAGAAGATTCAGAGGTTATTATTATTAAAAAGGCTTGCATGGTGACCGTTGATGTGTTTAATAAATACTTAAAATACCAAATAATGGAAATTATTGATGCAGAGAAGAAAGTCAAGCATGCTAAGCTTGCTGAAGGTGTTGAAAATGCAATTACTGACAAAAAATATGTAACTGGAGTTGATGTGTCTCAAGTAGACATGTGCTACCCTGCTATTATCCAATCTGGAGGCAATTACAACCTTAAATTTAGTGTTGTAAGTGACAAGAATACATTGCATTTTGGTGCCATTATATGTTGTTTAGGAGCAAGGTACAAATCCTATTGTTCGAATATAGCCAGAACACTTTTAGTTAATCCATCTGATAGTATTCAGAACAACTACAGCTTTTTATTAAGTCTTGAGGAGGAAATATTGAAGAAATTACATGCTGGAGTAAAGTTATCTGAGGTTTGTGATAAATTTTTATGATCAAAATTATGTATATTCAATTATTGTCAATATTTACAGGTGTATGAGGCTGGTTACAATTTTGTACAAAAGGAAAAGCCTGAATTACTTAATAATCTCACAAAAACATTTGGATTTGCAATGGGAATTGAATTTAAAGAAAGCTCCTTAACAGTTGGCCCTAAAAACAGTGCAATTTTGAAAAAAGGAATGGTATTCAATATTAACCTGGGATTTAATAATCTTCAAAATAAAGAGGCAACAGAAAAGGAAGCTCAGACATATGCTTTATTTATTGGTGATACTGTCATAGTCAATGAAGATTCACCAGCATCTTTGTTAACAATGTCCAAAAAGAAAATAAAAAATATCGGAATATTCCTTAAAGATGAATCGGAGGAAGAAGAGGATGATGAAGAAAAAGAAAACACACCCAAGCCGGAGCTTCTAGGCCGTGGCAAGCGTACAGCAGTCATAGAATCAAAATTGCGCTCTGAACAACCTTCAGAGGATAAACGAAAAGAGCATCAGAAGGAATTGGCGATGCTTCTTAATGAAAAAGCTAAAGAACGATTAGCCAAACAGTCAGGCGCAAAAGACGTGGAAAAAGTTCGTAAAAATACCGTCTCATATAAGAACTCGAATCAAATGCCGAAAGTACCTGAAGTTAAAGAACTTAAAATTTATGTAGACCAGAAATATGAAACCGTTATTTTGCCCATATATGGTAAACTTTTTTATATACTTCCAAAATCAGCAGTCTATTGCTAACACTACTATTTTTTTGAAGGTATTCCAGTTCCCTTTCACATTTCAACAGTAAAAAATATATCTCAGTCAGTAGAAGGAGATTACACTTATCTTCGGATCAATTTCTTTCATCCCGGTTCAACAATGGGCAAGAATGAAGCAGGTTCCTACCAAAATCCGGACGCCACATTTCTAAAAGAAGTCACTTACAGGAGCACAAATACCAAAGAGCCTGGCGAAATATCACCACCTTCTTCCAATCTGAACACCGCCTTTCGTCTAATCAAAGAAGTTCAGCGTAAATTTAAAACTAGAGAAGCAGAAGAACGCGAAAAAGAAGATCTGGTCAAACAGGACACTTTAGTTTTGTCTCAGAACAAGAGCAATCCAAAACTCAAGGATCTCTACATTAGACCTAATATCGTAAGCAAACGAATGACCGGAACATTGGAAGCCCACAGCAATGGTTTTAGGTAAAACTTAATAAATAAAAAATCATGATAAACGAAAAACGCAATATTAACATTTTTTTCGTATTCAGGTATACATCAGTACGAGGTGACAAAGTGGATATCTTATACAATAACATTAAGAATGCATTTTTCCAACCATGCGACGGTGAAATGATTATTTTATTGCATTTTCATTTGAAACATGCCATAATGTTCGGAAAAAAGAAGCACATTGATGTACAATTTTATACCGAAGTAGGAGAAATCACTACGGATCTGGGCAAACATCAACATATGCACGATAGAGATGATCTGGCAGCTGAACAATCTGAAAGAGAGCTAAGACATAAGCTCAAAACTGCTTTTAAAAGCTTTTGTGAAAAGGTTGGTCTTGTTTACACCACAAATAGAAATTAATTTTTTAATTGAACACATGTATTTACAATTGTTTTAGGTGGAATCCATGACTAAACAGGAGATTGAATTCGATACGCCGTTTCGAGAGCTAGGATTTCCTGGTGCCCCATTTCGCTCTACCGTTCTTCTTCAACCAACTTCCGGCTGCCTAGTTAACCTAACAGAATGGCCTCCGTTCGTTATAACTCTTGAAGATGTCGAACTTGTACATTTTGAGCGCGTTCAATTCCATTTGAAGAACTTCGATATGGTGTTCGTCTTCAAAGATTACCATCGCAAGGTAGCTATGGTTAACGCTATCCCAATGAATATGCTCGATCATGTGAAAGAGTGGCTTAATTCCTGCGACATCCGCTACTCAGAAGGTGTACAGTCTTTAAACTGGGTGAAGATTATGAAGACGATCACAGACGATCCAGAAGGATTTTTCGATAGTGGTGGATGGACCTTCTTAGACCCAGAAAGTGATCCTGAAGAGGAGCAGGAAGACGAATCGGAAGACGAAGACGAAGCTTATGAACCGACTGACGTCGAATCCGTATCGGAGGAAAGTGAAGAGGACTCGGAATACACCGAAGGAGACACCGAAAGTGAAAGTGGGAGTGTCTCTGAAGACGACTTGGGTAAGTTACAATAAATAAAGCGCCTCTTTATATTTCTTTTCCGTTTCTTACAATGTCGCATTAATTTCATTTCCAAAAAGGTAATGATAAAGATTTCATTCACCAATTACAAATGTTTGTGATTATTTTTCTTGAGTAGAAGAGGATATATATACGATGAATTAAAGATACTTCTATTGAAAATTAGGTAGTGACGAAGAGTCGGGTAAAGACTGGTCCGACCTAGAGCGTGAAGCAGCGGAAGAGGACCGTCGAGATCGACGATACGAAGAAGAGTTCGGCACCAAGCGTGAGAAGCACAAGGGTAAAGATTTCAAGACGTCTCATTCATCCAGCAAACACTCTTCGAGCAAAAACTCATCCAGTAAACATTCACCTAGCAAGGATAAGCATTCAAGCAAGGACAGGCACTCGTCAAGTAAGGACAAAGGTAGACATTCATCGAGCAAGGATAAGCACAACAGTAGTGGCAGTCATAGCAAAGATAGACATAATTCGTCCAAAGCGAAAAATCACCATGGATCGTCAAAAGAATCGTCGCACAAAAGTGGGCATAAATCTTCATCTAACGATAAAAAACGTAGCAGAGAAGAAAGCGATGATAGGCATAAGTCAAAAAAATCTAAGAAGTAAACGCAAACTGGAAGCACTTCTTCAGTTTTATACGTTTCATTGTTTAATTAGATTTAGTGCATTCGTATTATACTCTTTATGTTACACAATCTTAATTTAATTACAAACAAATTAACATTTAAGTAAAGAACTTCTTTTCTAAATGATGCAGTTTAAATTTTTATTTATAAAATTTCCTATGGTTTTTCAAATTCCTTAATTCTGAATTATCTAAAAACTACTATGATAGACAAAAAATTTAGGTGTATAAATCCCAACTTTTATTATTTTTTTTTCTTAAAGAATTGAATAATTATAACGGCATCATTACAAGGAATACATATATTAGGCAAAAAGTATCAAATATTTATTGGCATTTGTTGGTATATTACCCTACATACCACCTTTTTTTGGTTATTTTTTGTAACAATTTTTCATAATTTAATTGTAAAACATTGACCCACTACCAGTAAATTAGTTTTCAACTATAGCCAGCCAGTTTTTAAAAAAGATATGCAAATTATTAATTAAGTAAATACACTGATTTGAAGGCATTTTCTTAATTTTTTACGGTTTAGTTATTTTGTAATATTAAATATGAAACTTTGCATCAATTGCTTTACCTTTGAATGTTTTTTAAACAAAGAACATGGGGGTGCCCTTTACAATAAGATCCTTGATTTGGGTGTTCTCCTGCTCCCGTTGTAAATTATTTACGTTCACACGTCTCGTTTCGATATAGACTTTAGCGCGAGCTGCGGCCAAATGGGCATAGTAAGTGGGCGCAGGATAACTTACAGATCTCGTACATCGTGAAAACATATGACAGAGGTGGTACGTGAGTTCTTCCAAATCGTTTTCGGTCATATCCAAGTCATCCCACAAGACCCGGTACTTAGTTGGCTTGGCCACGCCTTGGATACTAGCATGCGAGACTAGGTAGAAATCGGTGGCGGTCGGATGTGTTATCCATTCGTCCACACACGTTCCGGCTGGTACGTTCATGTTCCTGTCTTCTGAATCACGAGGATTTAAAGGAAATAAACGTGTATGGTGACGTTTCTGGACCACCAGAAAAGTTATTGCCGGCTTATAGTTCTCTACGAAAATTCAATATTTGTTTTCAATTATTTACAAAGATTACACATAGGCATATACATGAAATAAAAAATAAATTACACAAAAAATAAAAGGATATAAGATTTCCGTTAGTCTTAGCCAGTTGAGTATGCGCGTCATCTGCTTTCACAGCTACAGGTCTTATATCAGGTTAATGAGAAAAAATATTTGTGACAACAGCAACAAATATATTTTTCCTCATTAACGTGAGGAAGTTTGTAGTGGATGGAAATTCAAAAATGAATTTTCACATTAATATTGCATATTAACCACTATTAGCAATTAAAAATGTCATTAACACCTTTTACTTGAAAAAGAGTGCAACTTCCGGTCCAACATGTATTTTAGAGTTGAATCAGTTTCAGCAGTAGAAAGTTACTTAAAAACTGTAAAACATGTAGTTTCAAAGACAGTTAGTCCAAGTCATAGCCTTTCAAGTCAAATGCTTTCAAATGTATACAAGTGATTTTATATCAAACACTTACGGTTCATTCGAGTGCATGCCTTCCTAATAGCCTCCACTTCACGGTTCATAACAAATTTGAAGAATCCTTCAGACACGCCATCCCTGAAGAAAATGATGTGTTCGGGTTTCAACTGTTTGTTCTGTTCATAGAAATATTTCAACTGTTCTGAGACAATATTCTCCAGATCGTCGATAATTTCCACACGAGGCGGCTGTAAACGCCAACAAATATTGTACTTAAATGCAGTGGGATCGTGAGAAGCAGTAACCGCTGCAACGCTTGGCGTGTCCTGGGCGTCAGGACTTGGATGCGTTACATCTGCACCCATTATCATGCACGGTCGCCTGAGGCATGAAGGTTTCTGTGTTAAGACGTGGTTAATACCATTTAATTTGGAATTGACCTTCAGCAAAATATTTATGACAGTCATATTTTTCGGACGAAACACATTGCGAGATTTGACACACTGGGTTAGTAGACCCACCTGTAGTTCAGCCGCCTAAAGGACAAAACAAACAAATGTTTGCTTAAAATTATGCCTTTTAAATAATAGGACTGGTAACTTTAAAAATTCTGAAAAATCTGCTCGTATTGCAATATATAGCTTTTTTATAAAAATAGAACAAAAGAAATAAATTATAAAAAGCAAACAAGCCAGTTAGAGTAGTTTTAAATAAAACAGAACAATATAATTCTTACATTACATATTTGTAATAATTCCTCAAAAGATCTGCAAATATATTTTGTCATAACTTGTTACAAAAATAAAAATTAGTAAACAATGGCATAGAAATAGCAACAATATGAATAAGGAAAATTTCAAAAAAAAGGTAAAAAGGGAAGCAAAAACTACAAATATATATATATATATATCTCGTTATAAGGACACTATTTATTAGTTGGGGGAAAATAGGGAGAAATACCAAGAACTAGACTAATGAAGAAAAATTCTGTAGAGAAAAGGAAAAAGTACGTACTGGAAATAACAAATAAGTATAATATTTGTATACGAACCTGTTTAACGTAACTATAGACATTGGGAACAAAATCGGTCAAAACAACCACAACAAACTTGATTTGATTCTGTTTCAAATTCGACATATGATCAATGATGGATTTCAATGGATTCCTGTTGTCTAATCCTGATAAGAACGGTGCTGGCGGAGCAATATCCATTCCTAATCTGCGTCCTTCGGATTGCATCTATTAGAAGCAATTGTGATTAAAAATGGTTCGTGTACTTATGTACACGAATTAAAAATTAAATGTTTATTTAATCAGTATATACATATTTTTATTTTTATTTAACAATGTCTTCGCTTATGTACGCATGCGAGCTCGGCCCAATCAGTAAATAGCAGCGACCACCGAGACCAAAGTTACCAGCTCTTACCCCGCGCTCGAAAGTGCCGCTTTCTAACTCACAGTCACGCTGCTAACTTCATACCGTCAAACTTTCGTAAGTTATGCCAGGGCAACTTCCGTTGCATGCTAAATTTTTACGATCGACATGCCAAATAAAAAATAAGATTCTTACCATCGCCGAGAACTCTCTCAGTGACTCTTCACGTGTACGACGATCAAGATTTAAAATAGTCCAACTTCTTAGTTCACACCGTTGGAAAAACGACTGAGCTCTCCAAACACCTCTGCTTGGTTTTTCAGTCCTGTTATTTGCATATGTAATATTAGGAGGCATAAGAACACGACCACTAATCCTCTCCATATTGGCACTGACAGAAATTTCGAATTCTCGAACGACATGATGTTGGTTGTAATTCGCATTTCTAACTGAAGCCATAATCTTATTCTTACGTACTTCTGTATTAGTGGCTGCGTGTTTTATCATCGCACTTGTTTGATCGGAAGTCATTTTACGGTTTACTGCTTGGCCCTCCATAACTGTACACAGCTCAATTGGCAATAATATTTTATCTGAGCGACTTTTACTGCCTACCCAGAGACATGGTAAGTGAGGATACCGTAGCCTATATCCTTTTATTCGGGTAAAGTAGTCTTTTACTGTCATTCGTTCATTGTCATGATTAAACATGGCCTTATCAGCGGGCTGATCGACTGCATTAACTCGCATTACTCTCCTCGAAGCCGGCTGTGTTGGTATAAGATATTGTACTTTTAAAGTACGCAGAAACTTATCTACTACTTCAATATCGAAAGGTCGAAGAGGTCCTTGAAGGTCTCTTTCGCTACACTTTAGCAAATCCATGAGCAAATTTATTCCATCTAAGCGTTGAGGAAACGCCTTGTGAGCCACGTCCACATTCAAAAACGGCTTCCAACCAAGAACTGCCGACTGGTAAAATCCATTATACATTTCCATGCCGTCGCCAAGTTGGATGATTGGCCCCTGAGGCGGCGAAAAAAAAGAACGACCGACGGAAATGAAAGTGCGTGCCGGGGCTTTTCTCAAAACTACATCGACAACTGTTAACACATCTTGTGGCGGTAAACGATGACCTCGGGTTGGTGACGCCTAGAACAAAAATTAAATACATATTGCTTCTTTACAAAAAATTGTAAAAAAGTTTTTTACGCCTTTTTTTTGAAGGATTCTCAACCTACCATGAAATATTCTTGTAGAGGTGTCATGTCCACTTTCTTACCATTAAATGTGACAGTAACTTTGTAATCTTTGTTATTTTCATTATCTGGCATAAAAATATTAATGGTATCCGTAAGAGTATTATTAGTAAGTGGAAGTAAAGCAGTGGCGAACAAGTTCTTCATACCATCATAAGCCGGGAAACGATTAGGAAAGTGTTTTCTACAGAACTCTTCCATAACGAGTGGTAGCATTTTTTTTGGTCTGTCGGGTTCGACTGTAACATCATACTGGTATACCACTTTCAGATTTTTACTAATACTCAATGCAAAATGATTTGTTTCGAGCTGAATTGTTCTGCCCAATTTTTTTTCACTCTTCTGACGACGTGGAATGTCTAATGCAAGTTCTTCATCGGGCAGTCTTTGTGATACTTTTTCTTCTTTCTTACCAAAAGGCGGTTTTCCACTTGAAGGTTTTTCTTGCTTTTGTTCTGGTTTCTGCTTTTTACCTTTTCCTTCAGCTCCTGCCATTGTTTTGGGTATGCCGCCGGAACTACTACTTTCTGAAGGTGTTGGAGTACTTGGAACCTGACAAAAGTATGATAAGAATAAAATAATTACAAAACATGCATGTTTTGATAATGTACAGCAACCTTTTTTTTGTAATCGTCATTACCCTATGCTGATATGATACAAAATTTTATAAAATTATTGACTCACCAAATGTTGCAGTGGTCTCCACAAAGATAATTAAATGGAAAACAATTGGTATATTGATAATGGTCTAATAATTAAGAGCCTAAGTTTGATTGCAAAAAGGAGCAAAAGGTAAATAAGTTACATGCAGGTGCATAATCTCGTGCACATAAAATGCTAATAATTTTATCATCTTAATCCATTCATAAATAATTTTTTACTACATAATTAAATAAAAAATAACATAATTATATTATACAATATTGCAAAAAGTAATTTTGTTCTGCTAATTACACCAAATTATGTACAGGGATTAACTTCCCTTTGAACTTTTTTTTGGCATAACAATTAAATAAAATAAACACATCATAATAAAAATGAAAAGTTTATCAATCAGAAGTGTTTGATTAGTATTTATCTATTATTTTTTTTTTTATTAAATAATTTACATTATTCATAAGATAATCTTTTAAATTTTCGAACAGTGGTCTTATTAGATGGTAATACATTCATATCACTAGGAAGATTATCAAAAAATTTTGTAGCTGCATATGTTTATGTACATGTAGATACAAAACAATAAAAGTAGTATACCGTTTTTACTTACTGATGATGGAGGCAAAGTTTCTCTTATTGCTTCTTCTTGAGGACTGTGTTGCTGCTTTTGTGAAGAATCACCTGGTTGCATTTGGAAAGGAGCCAGGCCAGGAGGAGCTCTCCACTGTTGCATTTGTGGAGGGATTTGTTGTTGCATTTGAATAGGGCCTCCTTGTTGCATTTGTGGAGGACCTGGTTGTTGTTTTTGAGGATACATCTGTTGCTGAGAATCTCTTTGTTGCTGCTGTTGGTAAGATCCACTTTGTTGTTGTTGGTGCTTGGGACTCCCATACTGTTGATGTTGCTGCTGCTGCTGTGAACTCTTATATTGTTGTTGCTGATAAGGTTCTCTTTGTTGTTGCTGCTGATAAGGTTCTCTTTGTTGTTGCTGCTGCCAAGGGCCTCTTTGTTGTTGCTGCTGCCAAGGGCCTCTTTGTTGTTGCTGTTGCTGAGGACCTCTTTGTTGTTGTTGTTGCTGAGGACCTCCTTGTTGTTGTTGATGATGAGGATCTCTATGCTGTTGTTGAGGTCTTCTTTGTTGTTGCTGTTGCTGGGGACCCCTATGCTGTTGTTGAGATCCTCTTTGTTGTTGTTGTTGCTGTGATTCTCTTTGCTGCTGTGGTTCTCTTTGCTGTTGTTGTTGCTGTGGTTCTCTTCGCTGTTGCTGTTGCTGTGGTCCTCTTTGTTGTTGCTGTTGTTGCGGACCCCTATGTTGTTGTTGAGATCCTCTTTGCTGTTGTTGTTGCTGTGGTTCTCTTTGCTGTTGTTGTTGCTGTGGTCCCCTATGCTGTTGCTGCGGAGGACCTCTTTGTTGTTGTCGAGGTCCTTCTTCCTGCCGTTGTTGACCCCCTTGTTGTTGAGATGATTCACCTTGTTCTCTATCACCTCCTCCAGTTTGCTTTTCTATATTACATAAAAATGTCTTACTTAAAACTTACAAAACAAATTGAAGCATATAAGGCATTAATTCTGATAGATATACAAGCAAAATAATAGCAAGGGAAATCCCACATCAGGAAAGGTTCTTTTAATTCTACATTTTTATTAACTTACGTTTTTTTCTTCCCATTATTAAAGCGGTTAACAATTAATTCTGGGACAACAATTCTTATAAATGCCGTATTTTTCACTTTATTTTAAATTTCGTAACTATTATTAAATTACACTCTCAAATAGTACACTATCACACTACTGAGTGCTACTGACACTAACTGCTAACTGCTACCACCTATGTGCTACCACTGCTACTAACAATCACTAATGTAATGTTTCATAGATTGTATGTATGATAGCATAGATGGGCAACGTTGTCAATCATTGCAAAAAGATTGTAGGCAAAGATAAGAAACTGTCCTCTAGGGAAAGTTTATCACATTTTCTTGAATCCCGGTACAATAACTAATAATTTATAATCGAAACAAAAATCATTTATTTTTACCTAAACTTATTGATTGGGCTCTAACAGCTACAATACTGTAACATTTCAGCATTTTATATCTAACAAAAACTTTTTTTAATTTCAGTATACACGGAAAAGTAATTTTATTGACAAGAAAGTCGAGAACTTGAGATATCTTACCTTTATTTGAAATAATAAGACTTGTGAAAGTATTGTAATGTATTAAGTAGAAATAATAAACAAATAAATGTGGGACTGACTTTTATTTATTTGTTAAATGTAATAAATAATTCTCCATGTATTTAAGTGCATAGAAAATTATCAATGCTGCTATTCAGAGAGACGCAAAACTGAACACTAAAATTGCTATCTTAAAAACATTGTAATTAATAACACATCGAAGAAAACAGTATCTATACTTTATTTACAAAAAAAGTTGTTGATATATACTAAGGACGTATTTTAAAGACATTTACGACATTTGTACGAAACGTACAAAATCAAAATCTGCAAAATGAAAATACTCTTCTACATAATCACTGCATTTCATTCAAACATGCCTTTCCAATTTATCAATTGAAGTTGAAAGAACTTAAGAACAGATGTTTTTTTAGAGAATAACTTATTTCCTTTATTAATATAAGTTAACTGAAAAGAAATCCTAAATAATTAATTTAAGAGAAAATTTTACATTCTTGTGTTTCGTTCAATCATATACGTTTAAAAAATTGATAATAAAAATAAAACGTCTTTTCTTAACTCTAATGTTCTGGGAGTAAATACGTGATAGTAGAAGTAATTTCCACAAAACAAGCAGTAAGGGGAAAAACACAGCTGTCAATCGTTCCTACAGCCTTGGTCTTGAACAATAAGATGTATTGTCATACTGCTTATGTTGTAAAACTATAACTTTGATACCGAACTTCGATGTTAGACATCATTGATGACTACTGTAAGACCGGTTTTTTTTTATTACTAAGAATGAAGATGTGTAACTGGAAAAAGACAGGGTAAGAATCCAAAAATGAGCAATATGTGCTTCTAATAACTACAAAGATTACAAGAAAAGTAGCCACTGTGTATGCTTCACACAAAGACTAACATTTTAAATAATATCGTATCCTTACATGTTTTATAATGAGCAGATTGTAGTAAGTACCTATTTATTAACACATTGACAGTTTTGTTAGAAACAGTTTCATTTAAATCATAAATTTTTTTTTTCAGGCATAGGCACCTAATTAAAAAAAAATAATTATAAAACGATGCAGCAAAATAAAACGTTTACAACTCATCGTCTCTCATATACATACACCTTTTCAAACCCACAAAAAAGGTGTTGTTTGGTTGATTGGTTCCAGTTTAAGTAAATATATTTTTTTTTAACAGTAAGTAAAATCGCACCCTGAAAAACGCTTCAACAAAACTTCCATCGGTTACCACATTCGTTGCAGAGAACAAACGTGGTCATAGGCTCATCAGCAGACCTTGTTTGCACCTGGTTATATGTACAGTTCCTCTTCTTGCACTTGCCGCACTTGAGCAGATCCGTTTTAGTACCCTGTACGGTGGCGAGCTGGGCGTCATTTATGGCTTCTTTCTTGAATTTTTCCCGCAACTGCTTTATTTCGTCATTCGCCATTTCTTCTGCAGTCATCGTGGCAAGTCTCGAAGCGCTAATAGCGCCTACGCGGAAGTTTGTGCGCAAATTTGGGTTTTTCGCGTCTTTCAAATTTGCGATTCGCGAACGAATTCGATTCTTGTATCTCATGTCTGTGTTTTTAAATTCCTGAAATATTGCCTCTTCAAGTTCTTCTGCCAATTCTTCAGCTGTTGCACAACCTAAATGTAATTTAAGTTTATTTCATATTTCCTATAATTCCCTTAACACATGTAGATTTAATAATTTGTAATTTTTTTACCTATTTCTTTTTTTAATCTTTATAACAGTCATACTTTTTAAGAATGACTAGCACTTTCTATCTTTTCCAAACCTTATAAATGAAGTTACATTGGTTTATGAGTAGAAAATTGGACACTAACTAAAGGCTAATTAAGTTTTGAGTAACAAATTATTAAATTCAGCTTAATTAAATTCATACTTTTTAAGAATGACTAGCACTTTCTATCTTTTCCAAACCTTATAAATGAAGTTACATTGGTTTATGAGTAGAAAATTGGACACTAACTAAAGGCTAATTAAGTTTTGAGTAACAAATTATTAAATTCAGCTTAATTAAATTTTATTTACTNATGCTATAATAAAGAAGGCAATAAGGGGATAAAAGAAGCTGAATTATTGTTGTTTTATGTAATAAAAAATTTAAGAAGCAAATCAGCATTAATTGAATAAAAAATCTAAATATAAACTCATTGCCATCCCTATAGTGAGAATAATTATAAATTGACAAAATAAGTGTACTTAGAATATAAGAGATAAAGTGCTACTTTTTGGTAGATCTTCAGTAAAAAAAAAAATTAAATATTACCTTCAAATTCTTCCCTGTCAACAGTTAAAGCTGCTGCAAGCATCTCTCTACATTTTAAACGTACAGCATCAGTAGTCGTTGAACTGGTTGGTGGAAATTGGTTGGGTAATTTCCTGGAGTCCTTTTCTTTATCTCGCTCTTTACTTTCTTTTTTATCATCCCGGCCTTCCTTTTTAGAAACCTTGCTTGAACTTGTATTGCTGCTTTCTTTTGTACTATTAGATGCTGATAAGAATTTTTTCCAATTTTTTATTAATGTTTTAGCTAAACTAATAACTTCATCATCTTTACTAGACTTCCGGAGTGCATTAACAGTCATTCCAATTCTTGTTTTAGTCAGTACTTCTAAATTAATATCTAACGTCTGCAATTCTTTGAGTATGTCTAGAGCTTGTTCTTGGCCCTAGAAATATTGTGATAAAATTTATTGAAAAAAAATTATATACTTCATTAAATCTGCAATTAGAAACTGAAAACAACTATCTAAATACAACAGTCACCGCTTTTAAAATCATTATTTAACCTTATGTATTAAATAAAGTAATAATTATTAAACGTACAGTCCCGTCACTTGAGGTCATTTTGTTTAGTTTCTTTTGTATACGCAGAACTTCCTCTTCAACACTCATCATGAATTATTATTTTGTTAAAATAAAACAATAATTTTAATTTCCCTACAGTCGATGAGTCCTCTATGTTTGAAATTAACTAAATTTTAGCAAAAGTACTTTAAATAAGCAAAACGTCAGTAACGCCATTTACCAATAAATGACGGACCTGGCGCATGCCCATTTAAAAAGTAATGGCTGTGGTTAAATGCTCAAGTAGTTCAACCAGAAAAATATTACAAAAAGCAGTAATTACTAAAGATAATTTATTTATTTAAGGTTGAAAGAATCATATTTCATATGTGTTGGTGTAGGTCGTTCCCTAGGCAACAACACCGCATTCTAGCAATTTGGATTGATTGGTTAGTTTGAATTTCTTTAAAAACATATCATACAGACATGGTACAATAAAGCTTTATTGTACCATGTCATACAGAGTATGTATAATGTGACCATATAGCTAGTTTTAAACGGGACCGTGAATGTTAGTACCTTTTTTTGGTACTTCTTCGAGACATAGTTGTCCTATTTTCAAATTAAGGGTCAATAGTAGACGATTATTTGAATTTAATACACTGATAATCTACAACAGAGATGGTCTAGTCTTTTCTAACTAAAAATACGTCAGAGAACAGATGTTATTCAAAAAGAATTCGTATTTTGTTTAAAAAAGTATACGTTAATTATAGTAGACACGGAATAAATATTCATACACTTCTACAAGCAGCAAACTGGGATAATCGTTGCTTTTACTGTAACACCATATTTAATCTGAAATAATTCTTACACCTAAATTTATCCACCCTGTATAAATCATAATTACTAAATAAACCCCCCTTAACAAAATACACAATTTTATTGTAGTGAAATAATTTACACGTACATTATAAGAGAATATTCGTCCAAAGGGCATTACCACAATATAGAATTTACATTAATTCTTACAAATAACGATTAAATTAAGAATTAAAAATTTCAACTTTGGTTATTGTATAGGAATCTTTGCTTAACTTTCTATTTACATAATTACGCTTATCTAGCACTTCAAGTTAAAAATAAAAGATTCAAAGTAAGAAACGAAAACGTTATTTCGTTTGTTCGACTTTTTAGTCCTCTATGGGTCAACGAAAGAAATCATAATATAACGAGTACCGTTTGTTACAAGAAGTCCTTCATGATAGTGGGTTAATTTTCCCGGATGCATTAACATCCAACCCATCTTTGTGGCTTTAACGCTACAATTGTACCGTATAAACCTGCAACCGCCTCCTTCATAATCGATACCAGCCCTATTCAGTGCGATGTTGATAGTATACGTGGAACTGTCGTGGTGGGGTCTCAAAGAGGGTTGCTCGTCCGGTCTATATCTCACCACAAAGTTCATCAAAGATCGAGGAGGATCGTGAGAATAACCGGTAAAAACGTGTTCGGTTAAAGGAAGGACGTATTTTTTCAAGAAGAACAGCCATTGCTCATCGAAACCGACCTGTTTCATATGGATGTCTCGAGTGGGCACAGCCTCGTAACCACCTTCTAAACGGGGATCTTGATTAGAACCGTCAGACCACTGTCCGAAACTCTCCACCATCTGGATCATGTTATTACAAAAGCGCTCTGTACCAATAGGGAACCAATACACATCAGGACATGGCTAAAAAAGGGACATGAACATAAAAAAATATTAATAATTAGCATTATTGTTACACAAGGATTGCAACTCATTTCTATCTAAAATTTAAGAAAACGGAATAAAAAAGCTTACATTGTTTTGTATAAACTAGGAGATAACTTTGAAAAATTAAAATAGTTTAAAGGAGTAGAAGAACATACACTTGTTAAAAAAGGAGTAAGAATCACTTGGAAAAGAAAGAACAGAGGATAATTAAAAAGAAGGCGTAAAAATGCTATAATAAAGAAGGCAATAAGGGGATAAAAGAAGCTGAATTATTGTTGTTTTATGTAATAAAAAATTTAAGAAGCAAATCAGCATTAATTGTATAAAAAATCTAAATATAAAATAATAGTTTGTTTATATATTCAGAAGTAATAATAATAACAGTCTTATCAACAAAATTACCTGTACTGGTGTATTTCCTGGCTGTAAACTATTGGAATAATTAGGGTGGATGTACCGTTCCTCCCATAACGTTGGATTGTCTTGTATTTGATATAAATCGGGTACAGCAATGGTGATATCATACGTATCAGGATTGATAAGATGGCCGAAGTCGAAACGATTAGAAACATACATAAATATCCCCAGGTCTCTTAAATTGGCACAAAATGCCATGTCTGCGTCTAAATTGTCACGAACATAGCTTAACTTTTGTTTGTCGTATCTATTTAATAATGTCGAGTTTATCAAATAGCAATTTGAAATGTATGGCACATTCCAAAGACCCCTGGAACAAAAAAATTAAACAAAACATCATTCCACTGAATTTTCCTCCAAAGTCTAAAAGTTGTAAAGTAAATAAAAAGATGAATCGAAAATGCCACTTATATCATTATTTGCGACCTAAACAAACCTGCCAATTACCCACTTTCCTGGCCACAATTAGATTCTCAAAAACAAGGGAGCCGTTTATATACATCTCGTTGAGTCAGTTTTGAACATTCGAAGCAGGGTCAGCGTGCTTTTTAAATAGTGAATAACGTAAAACTATTATTTATAATAATAAATGAACTTCTAGCTATGAAAAGCAGAAGAATTCTGCTAGTAATCGTCAGCTTCGTTCTGGTTTGTGAGATAAGAAACACCTTAGCGGCCAGAGGTCACGGCCATGGGAGAGCAGGTAACATTTTTCAAAAAAACCAACAATAATTAAAAACATGGATAACATTTGTTTTAAGAAAGACCAACAAATATTTTTTGTAGTTTTATGTAAGACAAAAGAGAAAACATACAAAAATAGCCTTTCATGGACGCAAAAAAGGCGTTTACTATTGTTATGCTTTTAGGAAAACTTAGAGGAAGGGGACGTGATTATCAGAAGGTTCAAACGATTACACAGCACAAATCATTAGCTTCAGAAAACTATTATCGTCATAAAGATGCAAGTATTCGACGTTTCGTCATTTCTGCAAAAGTTAAATTTAAAATTTCAGGGTGCCAAAATAATAGAAGCAAGCCACTTCGAATTGGATTACCTTTTGGGTCGTAAAATTTCATTTTATTGCAGTGCTCAAGGTAAAACATATATGTTATAAAGCATAGAAAATGGGTTATTTTTATTTTAGGTATACCTCGGCCCGAAATAACATGGTTCAAAGACGGAGTCGAACTGTATGCACACAAGTTTTTTCAAGTAAGTGTTTCAGTTTAATGAAACAGTAATTAATTAAAAGAACATTTAGGTTCATGAATGGACTGCAGGCAACGATACAATAAAAAGCAAAATGGAAATCGATCCTACAACCCAACAAGACGCTGGTTATTACGAGTGTCAGGCCAATAATCAATATTCGATCGATATCCGTGGCTTTAGGACAGATTTCGAACAATATTATTAAATGATAACTAGTTTTAATGGCATGCAAAAGCAGAAGTATTTATTAATATTACAATTTATGTACCAAAATAGCGTTTTCGTGTGAGAAATCACCCAAAACAAATATCAAATAATAATAAATGAAAAACAAATAATGGCATTTTTTATACCCCTTTTAAAAGGTAAATTTAATCAATTTATCTAAAAACAGGGGCAATGTTTTATGATAAAATATTTTAAGCATGTTTAATAACATTAAAAAAACACCCCACGTAATTAATTAACAATCGACATTCGTTCGTAACAAAAATATTTTATTACTGGCTCATAGGACGAAATAATTTAGCTCCTCATACAATTTTATTTAAAATAATAACAATGCGAGACGATAGTTGTTATCATAACAGGTTAAATAGTTGTCAATTGAGATAAATTGTTGGTAATGAGCCCTTTTTCACGTTAAGGGGAGAGAAGCCCCGGTTTGTGCGTCGTAAACATCATGCACGTCAACCATTATTGCCTCTAACATCTGAACAATGAGGTACTGTAACGTTTACCTTCTGTTAGGTCTTTTCTTTCTATTCACTACCACAACATACGCAAGAAGAGGACGTGGCCGGGCAAGGACAAAATCAAAGGTAAAAAAAGTCTTAATTTTTTATCGTTTACTTTTTGAAATGAGCGCGAAATAAAACTAAAATTGACGATTTTAACAAACTATTAATCCAGTATCTTCCATTACAATAAAAATTGAATTTTTTGATTTCAGTTTCAAATTGGATTACCAATTACGGGAAAATACCGAGATCCGGAGTCCGACCAGTATTATAATAACAATAACGTACGTATTATTATTTGAAAAAAATTGGAAAACAATCAATCCAAGTAAAAAAAAAGTCCAAACTGTGTCTTCAATTAAAAAAAAAAAAAACAGTTTGGAGCATAGCATTAGGGGAAAAAAACTTTTTATAAAAATTTTACATCTTGGAAGTCGATAAGTCTTTAAAAATACATACACATTTATTTTAATCTTTGGAAAGTAAAGCAGGGAATGCCAAAGGAGGATGATGTTTATCATACAGAGTTTAATAGTTTTTGCAAAAATGAAATATTTACACACATTTTTTTAGGGTGCAAAAATAACACTGGCATCACATTTCGATTATGAATACGTCCTGGGACATAAAATCGCGTTTTTGTGTGTTGCCAGAGGAAACCCCCGACCACACATTACCTGGTTCAAAGATGGCACTGAAATATTCTCGCATCAATATTTAAATGTATGCCAAACAATAAATTGCACACTTATAATTAAATCAACAAGTTTCCCTCTGTATTATTTTATAGATCCACGAATGGCGTAAAGGATCAGATCAAATAAAAAGTAAATTGGAAATCGACCCAGCAACTCAAATGGACGCGGGAGTATACGAGTGTACAGCTGATAACATGTATTCAATTGATAGGCGTTCTTTCAAAACAGATTTCAGCATTGCATTCGATTAATTAATTTGAATGAAAAACACAAGAATCATATCGCATCCTTGTACCAATGCAAAATATAATAAACGCTATTGCATCAAATTTTTTTATGACAAAAACTAAAATTAAACGAAATATACTCATCATGAAAAGATTTTTTACCCCCTTCCCTCTAATCCTCCTTTTGCAATTAAAGTATCGTAATGATAAAGGTTAAATTAAATTATTAGTTACCTCTTCGTATTGTACACGATGTCCAAATAGTCGTGAGATCTCGCGTAAAATCCGTCAGTCGTGAGGGCACCCCAGAAATTGCTCCAAGACTTTCCATATCTCGCCAGCAACGGGGCGACCACAGTACGGTTCTGTTCTTGTAATAAACGTAATGTTTTTGGATTATCCAAAACCGCCAACGAATCAATAGAAAAGTAGTAATCACATTTTTTCCTTAATGTAAGTTCCCTGCAAAATTTTAAACAAAAGACATTAATAATAGTATGCAACTTATAATAACTTGATTTTGTTTAACAAATTGCTTGCAATGAGCGACAACAAAACGACTACAGAAGTGGAATTTAAAATAAAAGACGAAAAATAAAATGTTATTCTTACAATGACAAATCCCTTGCATTCCATTCACTTGTACCATCTTCAGCTTTGATTTCTTTTATAGATAAATAGTCGCCTCCGTATTTTTCGACAAACCCTTTTACAGTGTCTGCATGATATTTGAGCTAAAATAGAGTCCAACGTACTATTTGTCTAATTAATAAGTTTAAATAAATACTTTATTATGAAGGAAAAGATGAATGCGATTTTTAGGATAATCAAGCTTGTAAATTTTCATTAATTGTTCTTCTAAGAAAGGTGTTGGTATTTCTACAAATACCGCAACTAACACCGTTGGCAATTTATTGTCCGGTACATCTGTAAGGTCTATTGTACGCCACTTACAATGTCTGCAGCCGTCTACCGGGTTCCAGGCTCTTGCAATATAATTACCTAAAATTACTATATCTGTTAATATCTTCCAAATCATTTTTAATAGACATATTACCTAAAGAATTCAGTTTAAGTTTTGTAAAACCATTTCCATGAACAAATGACGGCGATTTGTTTGTTAGAACATTCTTTAATCGAAACTCGTTCCGTTCTTTTGTTTCCACTTCAACAAGTTTGAGTTCATCTGAAAAAAAGGAATCAAAGCATACAAACAAGTAAACAATAGGACACCTTACAATAAATAACAAAAGAAGAAAAAAAAAATAACATGTAATTTGAAGATATGTAAATATACAAAATTTTGTTAAAATTAATTTTTATATTACTTATTGCTCCATTGAGATTCTGGAAAATGCTGCTATCATGGTCGAGTTGTATTTGTAGTTTCTCACGCAGTTCCTTATCCAAGTAAGCCTTCGTGAAAAACAGTTGATCGTCATCTTCATCGCCAATTGATTGATGTTCCAACAATTGTAAAATTTCGGGGGCATAGCCCATGTAGAGGCCGGAATTTAAAAACCTTTTGCCCTGTTTTACTTCTGGGTACAATTTTTCCAGACTTTTATCAGGCCAACAAAAACCTTCTGCACCAAACAAAATTTTAGCACCAGTGGCAAGAAATTTATTGACTATTGTGGTGAGATCATCCAATATTATTACATCATACCTAAGATTTTGTTTTTTATTAAAATAATGTAATGTATTCTTTAATTTTATGTATTTACCCATCTGTGAAAATAATAATTCGATTGGGTTGTTCTTTGTATCGTTGAAGGCTTTTTTTTAATAAATTAATTTTCCACCCTCCCCCTACAGAATTCTGTATATCTGCACCCCCTTTCCATTCTTCTCCCATTCCTAATACAACAGGATTAATGCCATATTCTTCTGCTGATTTAAGATACCTTAAGAAACCATCTGTTTCTTCTGTAGCAACAGTAAATACCAAGGGGACATCTATTAAAAAAAAACATTATTTAGATGATTAAAAATAAATGTAACCGAAAGTTTTTGATAAAAAAATATCTATATATTAAAACCTTCCAGACTCAAATGTTTTTATCAATTTTCTGATGTCCTAACAATGAGATAAGCTAATCTGTTTAAAACTAATTGGCTTCAATTAGAACAGCAACGATTTCAGATACAACTTGAATGAAATGCTGTACCTATAAGCAACATGTTTGTATAAATTGCAATAATTAATGCTATTTGTAGTTAGGATAATTGTAACATCTAAGAACTATACAGAAAACAACCTTAATTATTTAAAAAGAAAAATAGAATATAAATTAAGAAGTTATAGAAGTAAGTCATTAATCTAAAGACCTATCATAAATAAAACATACCCAATGCAAGAAATGCACATAAATCTATTTTTGGGTATTGTCCTGAATTGAAGGCAATTAATGTGTGGGTTGCAGAGTTGTTCTTGGAACAGATGCCGCAATTTAATTACATCATCATTTCTGTTTATATTTCCGTTAAAATGAATATTATCTGCATGCAAGATTTTGGTGTATGTGACCTCTATTTTACGCCCAAATGAAAGTCTTTTTTTTAGGAAAAAAGACGTCCTATTCTCGTTAATTAGAAAAATTATCATATTTTATGAATCGTTGAAGAAGAAAAAAACAGGGATGATTAAATTTACATTAATACAAGGTATTAAATGGTTCATAAACAAACAATGTAAATTACCTGAACTAACACTACACTTTACAACACTTGAAATTGTTAAGAGTATTAGGAATAGTACGTAATTACTCATAATTGCTCTTTACAAGAGTATTTTAATTAATTAAAAACGTTTAATAGACATCCACACACATTCAACAACAATCGAACACCATTTTTGTTTATAACTATCATAGAACTACATACAACTACATAGAAATGCATACAACTAAACGTCACAGTAAACTATAGAAAACAAGTAGTTGCTTTTACTTCAATATAGCACTAATAGATGTCGTCAGAAACCAATTATTTAAAAAATTATAAGTACTTACCTTCTTACGCTCAAATAATTAAAATATTAACAAGTTTCACTTACGTTTAAATGTAATTTCCCTGTCTGTTACTTTTGGATTGCAATCTTCTTCTTTATCACACTGAGGAAATTCATCACCATTAACAACTGAAGGAAAATTGAATTAATTATTAAGCTGACAATAAATTCGTTATTAAAATAAACAGTGATACACAAATTACAAAGAAGCTACATATAAAAAACATAAAAAATGTATTTTACGTCTCACTAGTGTTCACCTTGTATAATAAGAAGAATGGAAATAGAAAATGATATCGCTGTATTTTTGTTGATCATTGTCCTAGAGCACTCCGAATAAGACTGAAAGATATTGTAAAGCTATGCTTTTACAACTACAAGTTTGTTACACTTTTGTTAGTAAATCAACTGTAAAGTTTTTTATTTAAACTATTATAGAATGATGTAATATAACGCGCCAATTTTTTTGTTCTTCTAGGAGAGAGAAAGCAATTTTACAATTTTCTTTTTGCGGTCTAGCAATTTTCAGAATCAGAGCCGATTCCGCGTAACACTTATTCAAAGTTCCGCGTCTAATTTAAGCTTTATACACGCTTCTCATTTATTTGAGGACTATTTGCGAATGTCCCACGAAATTTTTATGGCAGGAGAAAGTGCGGTGTGGTTTCATAACACACTAAAAAAGCACCATTGTCATTTTACTGAAAAAACAGTGCATTAACGCAAAAATGTTGAATAATAATCTGTGAAATGTAAAGATTGAAAACAAATTTATAAACTTCGACGCACTGATTGTACCTAATAAGTAACTTCGTAAACGCAAACTATACTAATGCGCTTCTTAGTACTGACTTGATAAGTTTTATACAACTGTAAAAGCAAGTTATTTTGCTGTTTTATACACCAGACACGTTTATTTGCTCTTTTATCGACTCGTTGAAAGGGGATTTTTTGCTGTAAGTTTGCAGATAAAAAAGTACATAAACTTACAAGCCGAAGTGCAGTGTAAATGTTTCGTGGAAAGATTAATTGTTCTCTTGCAAATGAAAGCAGAAAACAGGTATTCCTATTATCTAATGAGTTGATTTAAGACCTTATTTAGGACCGTCTCGCGTTTATAAAGCCCCCACAATCAACGTTTTAGAACACGTGTCCATTTTTCAAAAATTACTTCAAATCAGGAGCAAGTACATCTTGTAGTTTAATACGTAATGATTTGATTTAATATAATACCTACGTATATACGTTCATATAAAATCAAATTGAAACCTGATTAATTAAAAAGTGTATTTATGAGTTCTATAACGATTGCAATGTTTCTAATGGCATAAAAATCATGATAAAAAAAATCGCATCATAAGTATATCAGATTACTTTTTGTGTTATTGTTTTAAAATACTTATAATCGTAAGTTCTTATACATATACTTAGTTGGTCATTATATAATCTTAAAAAAAAGCAGTTCTTAAATACATAAAAAGCTGCATAATTTGCAAAAAACTTAACATTTAAAAACTGGTAATTTTTGGTAGGTATAATTTTTTATATACGTCCTTGATTGTTTTTTAATACAACATAGGTATGTTTATTACGATTACAATTAATAAGACTATTATAAACTACTCTATACACATTTATTTTTACGAGTAACAAATATCTTTCGTTTCGTTATTTCGATATTCTTCTAAAGTAGCTTGATTGAACTGGATGAGAACTAATTCGTATGTTACTATAGTTGCAGCGATCTGAAAATTAAAAAAATAGCTTATGATATAATAATTTTTAACTGCTTGTTTTTTATTTCTTACGATCATTGACTAATTTTTTTAGTTATACATCTGATTTATTTATTTTTAACTTATTTGCTTTTAAATCATTATATATATATATATGATATTTCTCCTTACACTAAGAATGAACCCCCTTGTTAGTTTAAAAAGTTTATGTCCTGTTAAAGCAACGGAATCCATTTTTAAATGAAGTAGAAATCTCTTTATCTAAAAAAGAGACTCCATGGATTAAATTGTAAAATATTTAAAAAACTAACGTACTTCCCCATTATAAGCCGAAGATGGGACTGAATTTAGAATTCGAATCGGTTCCTTACTTTCATCGTTTATGGAAGCTCCATATAGAGAAAGTGCAATAGTTCGAGCAATAAGAAAACTAAATGAAAAATAAAAGTAGGTTTTTTCTAATGGAAGCAATTTCCTAAAAGCAGCAATTGAAGTAAATTTATTTAAAAGTTTTTAAATAGATACGCTTGATCAAACAAGCGTCTTACTTTATGCTGTTGAATAATTGATAAATAATGAAAGAAAGATTACTAGAATACGAAAGTAGAAGAACGTTAGAAATAGTATCATCTAAATGTCTACATAATTGAGCTAATCTGACGTAGTCTTCTCGAATACTTCTCCAAAACAATTCGTTTTTCACCTAAAAATCTAATAATATCAAATAGCATAATAAATATGGGGGGAACTACCTGAAAATCAATCTTATCTAATCTTTCTGTTATCTGCTTGAACCTGGCTGCTAAAACAAAACTGCACAACATCACAAAAAGGTCAGCGTAACTCCATAAAAACGTAGCTGTAGTGCTAACAATCTGTAAAAGCAATAAAAATAAACCCGATAAGAGCAAGGCAAATACAGTTAATTCAATTACCAGTAAAATAATTGATTTCCACAAACTGTAGTTAGTTACACTGAAAACTAGTGGAAACTGTTTTTTTATGAAAAACTCCCAATTTTGAAAAGTTATGGTTATTCCATTGTAATCAATAGCATTATGAATTAATGCCAGACTGTATTCAACTGAAATTAAGGTTTTTTACTGAGTCAAAAACAATTAAAAAGTCATTGGTTAAAAAAAAACTTTAGCAAGCATATAAAAATGTGAATATTAGCTTACCAGAAGCGATTAATAATAAAATTATCATAGTAAGTTTCAGTTTTAAATCTAACTTTTTTGGATAGTCATAAGTTTTCATTTTTTCATCCACTCTTATCCAATGTTTCATAAGCCTGGGCCATGTCATAGCCAGATGAAAAAATGTAATAGCTTCCAAAAATGCGAAAGCATAGAAAAGAATATTTACTACAAATTAATATTTTTTTATTTAGTATTTACACAAGGTATTGATCTGCAGATATTTAATTGGCACTTACTTATTTTGATTAAGCAAACTGTTGTTGTAACGACAATTATAAAATTGATTAATAAGAGACAAAATAATCCACACAACATTAAAATGCTATAAGCGACAATAAACGATTTCCACCTAAATTTTAACTTTCGTGGATCGTCCTCTAATGCACCTTGTATAGGAAATAATCCAAAAACTTGAGCTAGTATAATACAAGAGCGCAAAGATTGATGAGCGTTTTGAGCTTTTCGGAATTTTGATTTTATATGGGGAACCCTCATCCGAAAAGGATGAAATTTCTTTAATAAATCCATTTTCACCCTCACCGTGAAAATAAAAACACTTTATGTTACTGAGGAATGAAATTTGTTTATGTAACGATGGTCAACATTGAACCTTATTAAATAGTAATTGTGGCTGTCCATATAACGAAAACGGTTAATTATGGGGATGTTTGTGTTTGCGTAAGTATAAAATGATCCTTGCTCAAAGTTACGCCCCCTTGTCGGTTTATAGATATAATGACGGGCTTACCGAGTGCTAAGACTATAATTACCATGTTCATAATCTATTAATATGATTGTTCTGTACACAAACTATTTACTTTTCAAATGAATATCTGGATAAGAAATCACATATTTGAGGTAGGCATATTGCGTAAAAACCACCCTATTGTGCTGTGTAATCACAGCATAGAAATTTTGCGTCGCAGGCCTTAAGGAAGTACCCTCGATAAATAAATTAACGAACAGAAAATTATGAAAATTTGCAGTTATGCCGAACCTTATATATATATTTTAATATATATATGTTACATTCTTAAATAACTTTTAGCGTTGATACCAAAAAATGAAAGAATTAATCCTTGTAGTGAAGAGAATAAAATCAAAGAGACTCATTCCCATACATCACAAACATTTTAAAAACGGACACGTTCCGCCCACTAACTAAGTCCAGAGTTAAATAACGCCCACAATAAAGTCAGGCGAAACACCTGTTGATTTTTAAAAAGTTTGCTGGACCTATGTAGGGGTGAGTCTCATTGATATTATTCTATTTACTTATCAGTCTATTTTACTATTTCGCTTTTTTTACCTATCTGTCGGTCTGCACATCATGCCAACACTTGTATGAAATACTTCTGTTAGCAGTAAATATCAGCAGATGACTGTAACTTATAGTTACTTATATTATTAGTGTTATAATAAATTTAATAAAAAAAAGAAAGTAATGTAAAAACTGGCTTTTTAATATCTGGGTAATACATTTCAATAAATAATATTAATTCCTATTGTAAATTACTATTTACATTCAATTGGTTACAAATACAAAATAAGAAAAATAGAAAAATGTCGTGAGAGTATAAGTAGGGCATTTTTTATAAAAATCTAAATAAAATGATTTAATAATTAATAAATATATGTACAACGATTATGTGTAAGGTATCTACATATACAGTTAACTATGCCCTTTAACAATGCAAATATGTCTATAGTCTTCGTTTTTTAAGAAATCTAAACTGAAACACAAACTAGGTACAAGTACCTATTTTTTAATACTTATATTATATGTATTAAAATGAAGAAATCAGAATTTAAGATTTGATTAACACAAAAACATGAGTAAGAAGCATTTAATTAGAATTATTTACTTTTAAAGTTTATAATTTCACAGGAAACATGCAGTCTTGGGTAGTTGAACAAATTAGGTTCCTGTGTTCTTTCAACTGTTACGAAACGTCTCAAAACAAAAGAGAAAACGCATGATTGAACATTGAAAATACTTTCACGTTTTAGGCTAATCGTAAACAGATTATGTATTATTTATCGACGTGTAAGCGAAAGTATAAATAATGCGTTAAAACAATGTAAATATCTTAAATTATAATTATGAAGAGCACGGATGGTGAATTTTCATGTGTGTAGAAAGAGGGCCCGTTTGAGAAAAAGTCCTATCACATAGTGGGCACGAGTACGGTTTTTCCCCCGTGTGAATTCGCAAATGAACCTGAAAATATACAAAATAAAAATTATCTACACGTATGCGCACACTAGGGAGGTCTTTGTTGAATGAAGTTAATTTTTCTAATATATATTTTCATTTTTTACCTTTAGAGTTGACGCTTGGTAAAATCCCTTCCTGCACACAACGCAAACATAATTCCGTTCTCCCGTGTGAGTTTTTACATGAATTCGGAGATCTTCGCTTCGTGGGAATGCTTTTGAGCACATGCTGCACCTGTAGGGTTTCTCACCCGTATGGATTCGAACGTGTTTCTTTAATTGAGAAGAACTAACGCATCCTCTACCGCATGTGGTGCACACGTAGGGCTTCTCGCCGCTATGTGACCTGTGGTGTACTGTTAGACGGGAAGGATCAGGAAATCCTTTTCCACATGTCTTACACACATAAGGTCGTTCCCCTAAATTTAATAATTACTAAGAAAAATCGATATTCATTGTCACAAAAAAATTGCATGTACATTGGAGAAGCGGATTACAATGTTTAATTTATAAATAAAAAATATATAGCTAGTTAAAAAAAATGATTTCGTACCCGTATGTGTTCTTTTATGTATAATTAAGTTACTGGGGGTCGTAAATCCTTTACCACAATAGGGACAAATGTGATCTTTAACCCCCGTATGAATTTTCATGTGCATGGCCAAAGAACCTGAGCCACAAAGTCTACAAAATATTATTTAATTAGATATTAATTAGATATTTGAATGTCAATAATTAACATTGTGTCTTTTACCTTTTACCACAAATTGTACATTCATGACTTTTATATCCACTATGAGTCTTGCAATGAGCAGCAAGACTTGTGTACCGTGAAAATGCTTTCCCACATGAAGAGCATATGAAACTCTTCTCGTTTGCATGCGCTCGCATATGTTCCAAAAGTCTAAACGATTGCGCATATGCTTTGCCGCATATTTTACAACCAAAAGGTTTTTCCCCGGTATGAGTCCTTAGGTGCCGTGTAAGATCGTCTGATCTCGAAAAGCCCTTTCCACATTCTGAACACAAATGACGTTTAATACCGTTATGAACCTATGTAAAAAATTAAATTATTTAAATCAATTTGAAACAACGCTAATGACTATTTGTGGAAGGACATACTAAACAAAAAATCAGAAAAATACATGGTTCTTTTTATGTAAATAGATTACATATTCAAATCTAAACTTACTTTCATATGACGGCATAGTGTACTAGCACTGGCAAAACTTTGCTTACAGACCTTGCAAGTATGACGGTCACATTTTGAATGGATTCGATTGTGAACCTAAAACATTCTGATTTCAATATGTGCTATAATAGTTTAAATACATAAAAAAATAAATGAAACTGTAAGCGTTTACTTTTAAATCAATTTTTGTGGTAAAGCAAGCAGTACATTCTTCACAAGGATATATTGGCTGTTCTGTATCATCCTTACATGACTCCTTTCCTGTATTACTGTCTTTTGGTTCATCAGCATTTCTCTCCTCCAAAATAACTTCTTTCTCAATGTCTAAAATAAAACTTATAAATTATATTTTCAATCATCTTCATGTTGAATTTTTCTAGATTATATTACCTCTAGAAATTAATTCAAAATTGGTATCTATAGACTTTACATCATCATAATCGCTACTGAAATCTATCTTTGTATCGCTATTGTTATCTTCAACTTGTTCATCAATTTTAATATATGAAGAAGCTGTCTCTTCATGTGTTGATGTGGTTAATAGATGTCTTAGAGTAGTCTCTGAAGTTTCACACATTAGTTGAAAGGAATGGACTTTGCATAAGAATGTAGCACATTGTAAGCACACTTGTGTTGGTAATCCATCATCTTCACTTGCCTTAAATGTTATGGAAATCACACCTCAGTTACAATCGGAACAGTTATTATAACTCACATTAAAAGTTGTTATCTTCATTAAGATTTCATACAGTTTTGCACACTTTTCAAAAGTCTCATCGGAAGAGAATAACGACCTCATTTCATCGTTTTCACTTAAGCAAGTTCTGCAAATTTTGTTAGTTTTTAATTCGTTTGATCCCATGTTTAATTCGTTATCAGAAATTAAAGTTAATATAAGTAGAATGTAAATGTCATCTTTTAAAAATGTTTACAGAATGAAAATGCCTTATATTTCTTATCACTTATTTAAAAACGATTAAAAAGTTTTAAATATTTTTTCGTTATAAACATCATTTTTAACCACACTTTTCATGAAAACAAAATAAACAATAGATTGATAGATAGTCTATGATAGACACAAAAGCAATAAATATGAATATGGTTACAAAGAAGATGGTAGACATTTTGTTTACTAGAGTTTTAATTAAATCTAAATTAGAATTTCTTGTAGATTTTAATTGAAATAACATATTGCGTTCATATCAGCAGCAAGAGCTTCTTTAGCTATTGTTATGTAATACAGTTTTGATATTTTACCACAATTATGCTACTAACGTCAAGTATATTTTGAATAATTTCAACTATTTATGGTAATAATAACATAACCCTAATTATTTTATTTATTTGGTGTCAGAATGTTTTGATATCGTTAATAAAATTGTTCGTGACTGAATATTAATGTGTAAATTAAAAGTATCCTTCAATGGTCTAATTATCCCACGTCTCCTTTCGTATTCTACGTTTTAACTGATCACGATAACAGTTTTGATAAATTTATCTAATCTTTTGATTGACTTCAGGCCCAAAATCTTTTAACTCCATGTGATAATTGACGATAATTATGGATGAGTGTACACCTTTTAAAGTAACTCGTAGACCAGTGCCAAATTTGCTACCTCCACCCCCTTACTGTAGAAAAAGTGACCCTCCTCGATATGATCCTGATCAACCCCCTACAATTATACTGGAAGCTAATGATCCAGGGGCAATATTGAATTTATGTGAATCACTTCATGATGGAAACACACAAGCTTTGGAATTTAAAATTAATAAATATGTAAGTACAGGGTTTACATTAAAATCAACCTTTACTTGATTTCTTTATGTTACTTGATTATCACTCTTATTTCATTTCATAATAATGTTTGTTGACTTTGATTTACAATCGTTAATTTATTATGATTAGTTTAAAAGTATTTTTGTGTTTTTGCTATACACCTATGGGATGCTATTTTGTTTAATTTTGTTCTTTCTACTGTATGTGTATATAAGTATAATATTTGTTTACTTGTTGATTAAATGCATGTTTATCTTTAATCAATTATATATGCGTGTCTCTAATAAATTGAATCAATTTATTCATAAACATGATCATCCTACAAAATAAGTTTCAACATTTAACATTGCTTTAAATTTCGCTCTTTCGTATTGATTATTCGTTCTTATTGATTTGTTGTCAAACCTTTTCTCATATTGAATTTTAATGATGCATTTTTTATTAAGAATAACACGCGATTTGAATGAAAATGCTTAATTAAAAACCTGAAAGCATCGTGATCAACGTGACTTATTCCCAAAAAACTGCAGTAATTTATTTGATTTTAATGTTGTTATCATGAATAATACATATTATTCTCCTTTTGCTTAACACAAAAGAAAATTGTTTTATTTTACATTTAAAATTTTTAATTGACTTATGAATTCTAAAAAATGTTTACACAAAGCAAAAGAAAATTAAAAGTATACTTGAAATGGTACGCATGTGGTGTAGTAGGTATACCTATATTAAAAGGTATGATAACAGATATAATCCAATTCGAATTCACAAAAATATTTTTTTTAATCTCCAACAATTGATTTAGCTGTTATGCTATTATATTAAAAAGTACATGAATGATACTAAATTTATTACTTGAAAAAAATATATTGTGTATGGTGTACATTTTAGTTAAAAGAAGAAACGTTATCGAAATGCGTATTTTTAATATGGATTCATTACGATTCTCAAGAGGGAATCGTGCAGGTTATAGGAAAAGAGTATTTAGAAACCATCATAAGGATACCATTGTCTCATCCCATGTTTAAAGAAGTAATGCTGACTAAAGAAACTATCCTATCCAATACTAAATTCCTGGAATATTTTTTACAACAAAACGTGGAGAAAATTAATAAAAAGAAGGAGGCAGATATATTTATTGTTCCAGTTTTCGAAAAGGGCATAAACGGTAACGACATCGTTACTATTGTACTTGAAAATATGAACTATTTATTTTGTTTTATATTAGAATCTAATCCCAGAAAGATTGCTTTGTTAACTTGCTTAGTGAGGTGCAAAAGAGATGAGTATATTGTCACCGCGTTGGTACATGAGGTCTTTCGATACTGTCTGACCATTATGATGAATACCGCGTCGTCCGAAGAAGAAGCCCGATTAAAGAGACAGTGCCAATCGCTTCTTATGGTGGCCAGGAAGTTGTTCTCACACTTGGGCAACATTAATGAGTTACTTAGGGAAATAATGACCGAAGCTAGAAGAATAACAAACTCTGAAAGGTGTTCGCTATTTCTATTAGATCCCGATCACATGCATTTAGTTGCCAAAGTGTTCGATGGTCATAAAGCAGACGAGATTAGCAAGGAAGTGAAAATTGCTAAAGACCAAGGAATAGCTGGTAAGTTGAATTGTACCAAAAAAAATCACATTGCCACTTAAAAATTTTGGACTATTCAGTCTTGAAAAACCGTATCATTTTATTACAACTATGGAATAATAGATCTTAGTATTTGGTATTAATTTTAAATCTTTAGATTAATAGACATATATATTTTAAGGGTAGATATACGCACCACCTGAACATAGTTCCGTGTGAGTTGAAAAGGTTGACTCTTAGTTATTACTTTATTGTTTTTTATAGGTCATGTGGCAGCTACAGGAAAAATATTAAACATCAAGGATGCTTATAAACATCCTCTGTTCTACAAGGGGGTGGACAAATGTACTGGTTTTCGTACAAGAAACATTTTGTGCTTTCCTATTAAAGACGACAGGGGAATTATTGGAGTAGCAGAACTTTGTAATAAAATGGGTGGGGATTATGATTGCTTTGATGAAGAAGTTGCAATGGCCTTCAGCATCTACTGTGGACTTTCTATCATGCACTCATTAGTTTACAAAAAGATACAGGACGCACAAATGAGGAGTAAGCTGTCCAATGAACTAATGATATATCATATGAAGGTAAGGTTTACTGTTATGTGCAGAAAAACATCTTAAATGTTAGGGCAACCGTCATGACTAATATCAGGTGCAATTTAATTCTTTAACTATTTTCAGGTGAATGCATGCGACGTAATAAATGTTTTAATCTGTGGCAAATCTCACCACCATCCTCGTTATCTGGAATTTCGTTTCTCACCCAGAGAAATTCCCTACGGCGAGACCGTATGTTTTGTGGTGAAAATGTACGAAGACCTCAATTTAATAAATGCATTTCGAATAAAGAAAGATTTGCTCGTGAGATTCTTGTTATTAGTTCAAAAAGCGTATCGGGACCCACCCTACCACAATTGGACCCATGCATTTTCCACCGCCCACTTTTCATATCTCTGTATCAAAAATTTCGATCTTTTGGAGAAGAATTATTTAACGTAAGTTTTCCCCTTGCCAATCTTATCCAACACTATCTTAAGATTCGGGCCGATGTACCATGATTTAAACGAACGGTTAGGTTAAAACGTTTTCAACGATTTATTTGTATCACGGCCCATTCGCCCGAGTCCTAATTCTCCTTTGGATTCCGGCCATGAAAGCCCATATTCTTACATTATCTTATTTGTTTAACTAATTTTAAACAACGAGGAAATGTTTTTAACAGAGATTTGGAAGCATTAGCTTTAATAACGTCTTGCCTTTGTCATGATATTGATCATCGAGGCACCACGAATTCATTCCAAATTCAGTCTAACAGTCTTTTAGCCAGCTTATATTCTAGCGAGGGTTCAGTGATGGAACATCATCATCTTTCTCAAACATTATGCATACTTAATACAACGGTAACGCTTAAATTATTTATATTTATCAATTGACAGTAAAATAATGGTTTCATATTTGTTTTAGGACTGTAATTTTATAGAGTCCCTTGAACAATCGGATTACGTCAAATGTCTCGATCTGATAAGGGATCTCATTTTGGCTACAGATTTGGCTACCCATTTTGATTTGCTGCCGAAACAACAGGAAATGGCAGAAGTGAGTTTTTATCATTATTTCTAAGAATAATCTGATACAACAAGTTTTATAGTTACTTGTTTGGTGATTTGTTGAAATATGAATTTGTGATTTAATCTTATTCAGTATTTGAACTGAACACATAGAGCAATTATAGGTAATACAATTCAAAAATAAAACTTATCAAATTATGATGAGTTTTCACAAGAATAGTTAGAAAATAATTTTTCGTAGGATCATACATATAAAAATAAATAATTACGTAGATTGCTACAATGAACTTGTATTACGCATACTTTTACTTAAAATTTTCTTTCATTATGAAACTAGGCAAGCTTAAGTTCTAGTAATTGAAAGTCAAAAGAAAATTTTACTAAAATTGTTATTTTTTTCAGAGGGGCATTGATTTAGAAAGTGATAAAGACAAGAGTCTCTTCTTGAGTCTTTTAATGACTGCCAGTGACCTGTCCGATCAAACAAAAGTAAATCTAAAGAATTTATTTATTTCACCACAAATTAAATTACATAATATTCCAAATTATTTTTAATTTCATTTTTATTTTTTTTTCAGGAATGTGGCGTAGTGAGAAGCGTTGCTGAACTGATTTATACAGAATTCTTCACTCAAGGTGATATGGAAAAGAATATGGGCAGAAAACCAATGGAGATGATGGATAGAGAAAAGGCATCTATTGCCGATTCTCAAGTAGATTTTCTGGAACACGTTTGCGTCCCAGTATTTACGTAAATAAAAAATATTGATCTCATTCTAATAAGAATTAAAATTAATTAAATTTAAATTTATTGTTTTATAGAGTATTAGCTAACTTATTCCCCGGCGCATCAGTGCTTTTAGAAACGATGGAAGCTAACACAGAGTATTGGGAAGTGTCCAAACAAGTTTTCGGTAAATATGCTTTAGAAGGAAAAACTTCATTAGAAGTCTTGACGATGGCTGGCTTTAATGCTGAAGTATTTGAGGCAATAAAGAAGAAAAATGAACCAGAGGTAGAAGAAGAAGAGGAGGAAGAAGAAGAGCAAGTTTGACACCTATCATGTATATTTATTGTGTTTGTTTGGTTTTTGTTGAATTTATGTAATATTTGTCTATTTTCTGAATTGGAAATATATTTTTTATTTTTTAACTAAACAGAATTTTGCAGAAGTTGCCAATAATGTGTAACATTAAACACTGGTAACGAGCAAAATAATAATTTCACGTTGTCATCAATGGTAATAAGTCGTGCTGCTCAAGACCAAGTTTACCAGATCGAACGGTTGATAGCTGTGCATTCTTTTTTTTTTAAGTAGGTGTATGTATGTAGCATTGACGGAATAGGGCGAGCGCGTAAGGGGAAATTAGGAGGGAAGATCTCCTTAACTCTCACTTGTCTTCGTCGTATTCACGAAATTACTACCACAATCCTATAGTATATACTGAGCAGCAAGATGCTACATATCAAAAATGTTTTTGAAAATTATATGAATTTTGGAATCTACAAATTTATCAACTAATTAGAAGATGCATATTGCAACAGGGTGGAACAATAATTGTTTAAATGCTAAGTACTATATGTATAAATGTTCAATGGTAATAATATTTACATCCGTACTAAAAGACACGATCATTGCAATAAAAGACAGTTTTGTTTTCTCCTTTAAGCCAAAATAATGTGTAACATAAAAATAGTTGTTTTTTTAAGCTAAAAAATTTATTAAAGTATTCTTGTTAAAATACAGCTTAATATATTGTTTTTGTTATACTAATTTTAAGTGTTAATTATGCAGCATTTTCAAAAAATTAATATCCTATTTAAAAGTTTGTTGTTAATAAATTGATACAGGGTGTGTAATTGTAAACGTCCCTTTTCTTGAAACTGAGAAAAAACGTTATTGTTGTAATTGATGTATTTAAAGTATGAAAACAAATTATTTATGTAAAACCAAATTGTCCATTGTCTGGCTTGAATAAAAATTAAAAACAATACATCTAAGACTTGTAATTTTACTTGTTAGAACTAAATCATTTACTTTTTGATCTTATTTAAAACTTAATTAAAGGGGAAATAATTTTACTTTCTACGTTACGTAAAAAACGTTTATTAAAAGAAAAAATACAAAAAAGTGTGTGAAACATAAGTAAATGTACTATTTTTATAATAAGTAATAAATAGTAAAAAATACTGAATCGCAGAAAATACAAAGGACAAAAGTGTAAATGCAACGACAGGACAGTCTGAAACACGATGATTTCTTTATTACAATTATTGTTATCTTTTTTCTTTCCCTTTTCCAATTTTATTACTGAACAACCATTTAAAGACAAAAGGACCTTATTAAGCCTTTGGCTCAAACAGCTCGAAGGATTCCAGCTTTTGCTTTTGCTCATCAGTATTATTTTGAGCAATCAGTATAGTGTGAGATAAGCCCATTGTGAGCCCTAACACTTTTATGCCGTTTAAACGAGACACCTGACAAAAAATTAACAATTTTAATAAAAAAAAATTTACTCAGATTAATGTCACGTATTCGGCAAAAATTAAGATATAAAGCCAAAAATAGATCTTACCTCTTTGGGTGTCGAACTCGACTTCTGGAAAGTACCAAGACCCAATTCCCCATAAGTGGGCGAAGCTCCCCAAGCGATGATGCTGTCATCAGCTGCTATTATGGTTGAAGTCTGGCCAGCTGCCATGCAATGTATATTCCATCCTGTCAAGTCTTGTACAGGTTTTGGATACATGTTAGCCTCTCCAGAACGTTTATTTTGCCCGAAAAGGAACAAACCCCCGATGTCGGTAACCGCCAAACTGAACGTGGAACCGCAAGTGACGGACCGAAGACCCCGTGATTGACTGTCGAAGTATTTTATCAGTCGTGGGACCTGAAAATGACTGAAATTTTCAAAAGTTATCGGTTGTGCTCCATTTGTACATTACAAATGGCTCAAAAACCTATGGACATAAAAGAAATAGGAACAATAAAGACTATGAACATAGCATTCATCCGCATTTCATACTTTTCATTGCAGTATTGCAAACTTATTGTATGTATTTTTTAACTTACATATTCATCTTTGGGTTCTGCATGCCCCAAACGTCCAAAACCACCAAAACCCCATGAAAAAGCTCTCTTTTTACTATCAATTGCTACAGTGTGGTTTTGTCCACAACTAAAATCAACAATTTCAGAAACATCTACAGGAGACACATGTCCATCCTTGCTTTTTTCAATGTAAAGTACAATACGTTTTGGACTAGTTTCATAATGAAAACATAGTCTTGTACTTGTTTTAAAATATTTTCCATCAGTGTTGTGGCCCAATTGACCATATTCTGGCAGTCCAAAGGTGTGCAAACCGCCTTTAATGTCAAGTATTACAGAAAAATCAGCTCCACAACCAACCTAAATTTAAATAATAATTTTTATTAAAAATACAGACTTTTCCATCGATAGCAAAAAGCTTTACTTTAACAATAGGTGCTCCTCTGTAGTTAATTCGAGTTGGCGTTAATATGGTAGCCTGAGCATTTCCAACTCCACATTGGCCTGATCTGTTGTCTCCACAAGCATAGACAGTGCCTGTGTCAGTAAGGAATAAAGTATGATTTCGACCACAAGCAGCCCCAATTATGTTCATGTCTTTGAGTGCCTCAACTAGGACTGGAACATCTGTGGTAGTTGTGTTGTTAATTCCAAGTTGACCATACTGGTTACGACCAAATGTCATAGGTTTACCATCTTCTCTGACAATGACAGTATGTGCAGAAACACAACCACTGACCACCAAACGAACCTTTAGTTATGGATTGACATTATGGATTAAAGCAATAAAATATATTATTACACAAATCATTGTAAGTCCAAAGTGCTACAAGTCAATTCATTAATGAGTGTTTGCAATAGAAATATAGTTTTCCTATTCAATCAGTAGCTTCTTTGAATAATGAAGATTAGACTTCATTTTTAATTACCTAGGTACTTTTTTAAATTTTGAAAATTATTACAGAAAATTTTTAATATCATACCCTCAAATCAGTGAAGCGATGAGGACTAAAGAGAGTACCATCTTGTCCTTTACCGATTTTGTTAGCTTTTTCACGTCGACCAGTCAGTTCCCAATTAGTTAAACCAAAAATAATCATTTGCCCTGCGGGTTTAATGAGGGTCTTTAAAAGTTCTTCTGGCAGTGGAGGAGCAGCATCGTCCAAAATATCCCCATGACCCGCAATTAAAATTTCGTCTTGCTGATTACAATCGTTTTCACTGTCATCGGTTAAATCCGAATCAAAATCACTCTCTTCCTTTTTTTTGCCACGCTTTACGTTTGACCTTTTGGCTGGTGCTCGTTTACGTTTGCTAGACATTTTTTTTTATCTAATTAAACAAACTAAAAAGCTATTTAATTACACTGCACTAAACTCAGGTGTGTGAGCGCTGGGCGTTAAACTGTTGTTTTCAAATATCTAATTATTTAAAAGGTATTATACAGCTTAATATATTGTTTTTGTTATACTAATTTTAAGTGTTAATTATGCAGCATTTTCAAAAAATTAATATCCTATTTAAAAGTTTGTTGTTAATAAATTGATACAGGGTGTGTAATTGTAAACGTCCCTTTTCTTGAAACTGAGAAAAAACGTTATTGTTGTAATTGATGTATTTAAAGTATGAAAACAAATTATTTATGTAAAACCAAATTGTCCATTGTCTGGCTTGAATAAAAATTAAAAACAATACATCTAAGACTTGTAATTTTACTTGTTAGAACTAAATCATTTACTTTTTGATCTTATTTAAANCTATTTTTCGACAATCTTGCGTTTGTCCTATTTTACATTTCCCAAGCAATATGCAGGTACAACCACCTTTAATAAAAATGAAGCAGGGAGGGCGATGTTACAAAGTTTTATATGGCATACACATTTTGTAAAGAGATCTATTTTAAGGGTTATAAATAATAGATTTTTGTTCTGTCAAAAACCTTAAGTGACTTTTTCATTTTCCTTTTCAAAAAAATTTTAGTATGAATAATTCCTATATATTGTCCTTAAAACGACTTGTATATAGTCAGTTATTATTACGTAGATTTCCCTCGGTTTTTAAACAATTGATTTTAAACAAATCAATGTTTAATGCAAAAGAAAAAAATCCTGAAATTCTTAAGTTAAGGAGAAACTACGGCCATGATTTCAATATTTCCTTGCCTTTTACAATTCTTTTGTGTGCCAATAACATTATAAATAATAACGATACCGGAAATAAAGAACCGGTAATATCAGAAATAACAAAATCTGACATAGAAGACAATATTGCCCATCTTCTAACTTTAGCTCGATTAGCGTTAGAACATGGCGACGCCGACAAAGCTGAAGCCATATTAAACATGGGAATAAAAATATCAGAAGAAAACAAAGTATATGTAGGAATGCCTTTTATGTATGACATACTGGCTACTTTAGCATTTGGCCAAGGTGATATAGAAAAGGCCGAAACGTTATTGGTCCAAGGTATAGAGAAGATGGTTCAAATTGGAATGCCCGAAAATGACCATTATGTGGTCGATTTTAAGTTACGCTTAGCGAGAATTTACAGTGCTATCAAGCAAAAAGATTTAGCCGAAATAGGTTTTAAAACTTGTTTGAATTCACAACAAAAAAGAATTCTCAATGGAGACCATGGTACCAGAACGGGAATGTTATTCGTTAATATTTTATTCTGGTATGGTGTTCATAAAATTAGAAACGAACATTACGGGGAAGCAAAGAAACTTTTAGACAACGCGTACGATTACGCAATCAAAATTAAGGGTTTAAGTCCGTACCAAGAAATGGTAATTTTATACACTTTAGCGGATATTAATTTAGAATTAGGGGAGTACGATCCTGCTTTGAGGAAAATACAGAATGCAATAGCTTTGGGAAAGGGAATTAGTAGCGTCGACTTGCCCAAATGTTACATTAAATTAGCCAAAATTTATCTTAAATTAGGTATTTTGGAACATGCCAAAAAGACAATCGAAGAAAGTAGAAAATTAGCTGATATGTTTAATAATAAAGATGCTCTAGATGAAGTTAAAGAAATTTTAGATGAAATTTATATATTAGAAAAGAAATAAATGTCAACTGCAACGTCTTATGAACTTCAGTCATTAGTTGGATTAATAATTATATTAATTATTTTACTCAGCAGTTGTAAATAAAGAAGTTTCTAAACTGTTACTTTTTTATTTCTTCACAGAAGAAAATAAATACATCTTTGTCTGAATAGAAGTACAATAATATTTGGTTATATTAATATACAACTTGGTATAAATATAATGATGAGTTTTCTCAAATATGTAAATAAATAAACATCATTTCTGCATACATCACTTTATAAATATCTTTAGGCATTTTCCACATTAATTCGTCAACAAATATATCACTGTGCATTAGGTATGTGTTATTTTCATTTACGATGAAATTTCTAAACTTAATATACTTTTAAGTAGATCTTAATCACTTACATCTATTAAAATTAGTACACGAATAACAAATTTAGGTTTATTTGGAGTTATTTAATTATTTTTAGTAATTTAATTTGGCGCCCCGTGCATTTAAATTTTTCAGCCATGTTGAAAAACTATAGCCAATCGAAAGTGTTTCTCCCCTCCCACCTTCTTTTACATTTGGAAGAGATATTTAATAATGGTTGCTGTTTGTGATTTATAAAGAAAGTCGTGTTTGTGGAAAATATTATTACAATTAAGTAGGTAAGAATTCATTTTAGTTAATTAAAAATTAACATCAAGAATTATAAATCATATGAGTGTTAAGGTCTTTCAGTTGTTGGGCTTTTAGTTACTTATAGTTTGGAGGTTAGCAAAGTACTGTTCATTCGAATTATTCAAATTAAGCTAGGGCAATTGGTTTTTTGTTTTAAGGATTTAATGTTGCAATTAACGAATCAGTTTTTGTTTAGTTTTAATAGAGAACTATTGCTAATTATGTAAATTAAGTTTTCTGTCCATTGAATTTAAAATGGCATGCTCTGATTTATTTACCCACATATGATGTATACAATGTTGAACCATAACCAATAATTTTGGTTTACAATTGGCTTGCTTTTCATTGTGATTGTGTTATTTTCTTTTAATTATTATGAACAAAAAGGTAAGATTTAAATTGTAATTTAATGAAAATATGTAACAGAACACAATAATAGTGTTTTATTTGTTATATCGATAGTGTTGTGGAAGTAGAATTAAAGTTACGATAAACAATAATAATTAAAGTTGAATAACTGTACTTGTTTAAGTACACGTTCCTTGTTGACTTAATCAGTTTTTGACGGTTGCCGATTATTAAGGCATTTGAGAAGGTTATAAATACCAGAAATTGAATTGATTTATTTTGCAATTCACTTATTAGTCTTACTGCCAGAGTTTGGTGTTTTTGGATCCAGTAGTGGCAGCCATTGTGCTGTAGCTGTCTTACTGGTTAGCATTTCCTTGAAAAATTGCCTCTCTATTTTTCGACAATCTTGCGTTTGTCCTATTTTACATTTCCCAAGCAATTCACTCGCCCCGAGAAGGCTGTCGTGCGCCACGCAGAATTCTATGTAACAATTTTTTAATACATCCTTTCCGATATCGAATGTGAAAGCCTCATTGAAGACTGGACAAACCGTGTTCCTTTGAACCCCTGTTTTCCTTTTCTTGAGCCTTTTTGAACCCTGGATTAGACTTACTTTTACAAAAGGATCTAAAGAGATAAAATCGTTAATTAATTATATGAAGACACGGTGGCGGAATAAGTAAATAAGTAAGGGGGGGGGGTTGTTGCGGCTACTGGTCCTAGGAGGGCTTCCATATTTTGAGAAGTCCTTTTTTTATTAAATCACAAATAAGGCCGAAATACGTCCAGTAAGTACAAGAGGTGGTTTAGACTTTGGAGTTAGAGGCCCCATAGTACATATTGAAAATATTTGTAAATATTTACACTGCAAATACATATATCAACAGACGAAGGACTCATTTCGTTTTTCCTCCCCGGACCTCCTCCGGATTTAGTCCACCACTGGATGTATAAGTAAAATTTAAAGATAGAGGAATTGGGGAGTGTAAATCTTCTTGCTTTTAATCACATAAGTTATAAATTATTACCTGAACTGTTTCTTGTGTCGTCAACTACCCTCAAGTTTCTTGCCTTTACAATAACGACGGTAAGACGTTCAGCTGAAGGTAGATATGCTAGAGATACCATCAGTTCCCCTAAATCTAGTCGACTGTCTTGATTATTTAATGGCATTAGTTTTTTCCATACGTCTACTTTTTCACTAAGGTCAATATTTGCCAGTGGCATCTGCACGCCTCCAATGCTATGATGTCTAGAATATGCGTCGAAATCGTATAAAAGGATTTCCAAAGTGTGTCTCCCCAAAGTCGCGGCCCTCACTTCGAAAACGAAGTCTTCGTCAAATACTAAGCAATTAAAAAAATTTTTACAACTTCTCGCAAATGCGCAAAGAAATTTTCTCCTTTTATTAGCGTTGTTTATCAGAGACAGGATAAATTTAATGAGAAATAAAAAGACGTGATGTACATTACTAACCAGGGTTGAGGGTTTTCTTATGTATTCTCGTTTGCCAGACGTTCGTCTTGTCCGGAAGTAAGCGTATTTTTGCGTAAGGATCTGCCGTTCCGCTGAAATCTCTTGCCTGTAAATCTTGTGCCTAAAAACAAAATTCAAAAGCTCGGTTGTCAAATAAAACATTCTCATTTTGAGAAATAAAAGTACGAAAGCACTGAAGCATCAGAATCCAACTTGCCAACTTGCTTAAGCTGCCGTATAAAATACTTTTAAGCATAAAAATAGAGTTATTTCTTTTATTTCTAGGGGTCTGTAGCAAAGGATGTTGACAGTAATTATTAGGTAGAAGCTGCAGCTTAATGTAATTGATCACACTAATCCTTTGAAGGACCTTCAATCTGTATGTAAAGCTACATACAGCTATTCGAAGTAGATTGTGTTTGCGAAGGTAATAGGTTCTATGTTCATTAAAAAAGAGTGCGGGACGACTGGTAATATGGCTCACGTGTGCATGAATAAAACATACGTCACAGAAATACATGTATTTGCGTAATAGCTTTGCGTGAAAAAAATAAACATTTCGGGATTATCGAAATTGTTTATAGTTGTTATTGGTTAATTTTGACTTATTCCTTTGGATTTTCTTCTACATAGGCCTTCAGTCCTAATGATAAGTCTAATTGACACGCATCTCCACATAAGCCAATCTTCGCATTTCACTAAAACTAGAATAATTTGCATCTGTAACTATTTGCAAAGAATAATCTATTCTCAGTCCGTTTCTGCCCCTTTTAACTCCTGCTTTTGCTTCTAACCAGCCTACATGTCTGAAAGGATCCTACCAACTACCTCGTCTATTTTTTATTGACTTCCATACCACCCTCTTTATCATACTTCTTCTATCGATAACGCTTACAGCTTCTGCTTCATATATAGTTAATAAAAATTGATCGTGACGAGTCACGGCGAACATTGATAAGTAATAATGGTAGAGTGTTTGAAAAGTAAGTTAAATGTAACCTATCAATTTCATTCAAGCCTTTGGGAAATCATTTACCCCTCTGACGTGATATTAAATTGGATCTGATTTATTTTATCCCTGAGGATTTTCAGCTTATTGGACGTAAATGCGTTACTTGTGTGTAACGGTTTCGAGTTTGCAACGTACAATTTTAATATAGGAAATATAAAATACCAAAAGCTAATGTTGCAATATTCACCGAAAAATGAATACGTAACTTTGCTGTTCTTTCTCTCCACATTTCTAACTTTTCTGTCTAGGCCATTTTGATTAGGTATCCGCCTATAATACCATAATGCATTCAATGCTTTTCCTCAAGGACGGAGTCGTACATACATTTTTTAGTAATCTTTTTCGAATTTCTTCTTTTAGGTTTTCGTTTCCAACTTTTATATACAATTAATGATTAATTAATATCGGAATTAGGAAAGATGCTGCCGATATTTCTTGAAGATAATTTTTTTAGACTTGAAAGTCATATAGTTTTAGTATTTGAATCATGTCCGTTTAATTACATGACTAGAGATCTAGTTAATAAGTCAGTATGTTCACCAAAGACAAATTCTGTCAAAGTTCGCAAACCAAATTAAATCTATTTGGCTAAGTGGCTCAGTTAAACACACAGTGCTGGTTAATTTACATTTATTAAATTCAGCCTTCGGTGCGTTCGGTTCTAATCAAAATCCCGGTTTATCCCTCCCGCAAAGCATACAAATGCAGCAAACTCATAAGAAACAGCGAAAGGGTCAGATTTGGGATTGTATGGTGGCACTAAGAGGAAAATTATGAAGATTAGACAGAAAAAAAATGTAGCATGGCATAGTAGTTTCGGGTTTCTTTCTTCGTTTTATAAATATGAAGACTTGACTAAGGTACTTTGCAATTTTATCACGCAAAGCATTTTTATACTGTTTCAAAGACAGCTGCGTTTTCAGTTTAAATATGATTTAAATAAATACATAATTTATTACCGTTATGTATGTATGAATATATACAATTCTGCAGATACAGAGCAAATTTTCATCGGCCTTTCTAGTTCAGATATTTTTAAAACTTCTTTCCTGGCTTTGAATCGATCTAATTTTCCTGAAGTATTTGGTACTCACACAAAACGTTTTCTATTTTCGCCCCAGAGACCGTGAGTGAATACCATATGTTAGAATTCAATTGATAATATAGCCATCGTTTCGCGCTAGTCTTCGAATTTTCCCAAGTGTAGTTTTTTAAATCAATGATATTATTCCATCTGCTTGGGATCTTCATTAACTTTAACACTGAGAGAAGAATGGAAAGTAGAGTTAAAGTTAGCTTTTTACGATAAGGCGCTTAATGGAGGAAAACACTTTGAAATTTTCGTTTTCCCGAAAATGTTCCACCGGTTTTAATGATCCTTTTTTATGACGTGCCCTTAAACATTTGTTTTTCATTTAGGTACCTAGTAACCTTGTTCATTTCCCCTTGAATTATGAGGAAGAATTGGAAATTACATGACGCATCTACCACCTACTACGTCGTTTTGAAAGTACTGTATTGCATGTCTCGGCGCCTAAATGATCAACCACTATTTTAGCTATATCTACCGCCTATTAGCGGTTTACGTACTAATAGTAAACTTACCTCGACAAGGTGAACGGTGAGAATGCCAGCAATCGGGTCATAAACTAAGTTTACATGGATTGATCCACGAACCTCTTCTGTTTCTACGGGAGAATCCTAGAGTTTTTTTAAAAAATCGTCAGAAATTCTTTATTAACTTATATTTTTTCACATCGTCATTATTAAGAGTAACATATATATATCCGACGTGTAAGCTTTTCCATTCCGTCACTGAAAAATTCTTTCGACTTTTCTCGAATCCAGGACTTGGTAGCTTCATTTCATCGTCCAATGCGTCGTGATGTCTCTCTTGAGTAGAGGAAAAAATAAAAGTCGCCGGGCGTAAAATCTGGTGTGTAAGGAGGATGATTTTTGATGATGATGATTTTTGCACCTTGGATTTTAATTTTTGCCTATACTCAAGAGAGACCTCAAGGATAACTATTACACCTTGGACGATCAGATGAAGGAAGCTATTAAGTTCTGGATTCCAGACAAGTCTGACGAATTATTCAGTAATGGAATGAGCAAACTTGTTGCATGCTAAGAAAAAGGTGAAAAAATAAATATTTAATTCTTGGCCGATTTTCCTATTTGTCTTTGTTGGAATTGTACAAACACGGATGCATTATTTTCAGTCTACCCTTGCAGTAAGATAAGGAGGGTTATAACAATAAATAGTTGCATTCTAGTTCTTTAAAGCAAGTTTTCTAAGAGACGATTATCCTTAAATTTCTTTTAGAACTTTCATTGGTGACATAAACGAGCAAACTTTCGTACCTTTTGATACAAGGAAGTGTCTATCTTTGTGTGGTCTAATTTTGCTTGCATAGACGACACTTTAGGTCTAATGGGGCTGCTCGAGGTGAGCACAATTTGCTTATCATTTCTCGCCAAGGGAATAGGTCCTGAAAAGGGGACCGGCTGATAACTGCTTGCAGAAGTAGGACTTCCAGTCCCCGAGCAATCTGAAAGTAATGGAATTCAAAATTTACCTCGTCCATTTTCTTTACACGTAGACACATGGATAAAAGGGCGATTATGGGCGTAAAGGGACTCATTTTTTTAAAAAATTATCACAGACTAAAAAAGTTAACAAGTTTATCGCATTAAATTTTGTATTTATTATGTGTCCCATCACTTTTTTGAAGTTACACCCAATGAAAATTGCCAAAACATTGTTTAAATAAACGATAATCATTATGAAAACATGACTTCTAAACAGTGTACATATATATATGGATATTTAACAAAAAAAGGTCCTTTTCTGTGACGTTCTTGACAATTTCCTTTATCTATCAGGAGTCTGTCTTTTTGAAATAAAACTCCTCTTATTTATAATTTAGAACTTCAAGAAAAACTGCTCTTCTAACGTATAAATGGGAGGAGGAATTAAATTGTCATGTCAATTAAGATAAATAGACTTCATTCTAAAGACTTTGATCCACTTTTTAAATAAATAAGGATGAGAATAAGGAAATAGAACAAAAGAAAATTGCAACTTAGCAGCCCTATTTTCTTGTTAAGTAGGCCGGCAAACTCGTAGATTTTTTAAGTAATATAAGTACTACAAACTAATTATAATAATAAAAGTTATTGTTTTAAAAATAGGGAGTTATTAACATTTATATGTTTTTTCTTTCAGTATACATGTGGTTAGTGAAAGTGGTGAGTGAAGTGAGCCAGTCCCGAAGGATTACCCTGAATTTTTGGGTAATAACGACAATAACCGAGCGTAATTAAGGTAGGATTCTTTTACAATTTATTTAAAAGGTCATACCTGTATGATTATCATGATACGGAAACACTTCATGGAAGTATTGTACTTTTACTTGGGAGTGTATAACAACAAGGGGATGAGGGACAAACTTAAAAATACGTACCTTCTATGCTAATATCACCCTCTTCAACGTCACTTTGACATACGGAATTTTGTCTTTTTATGCTGCTTGGGGGTACCCAGAATTTGTTTTCACTCGTAGTAGAACAAAGCGTTTTGCTACTTCCTGGTCCCGAATCTTGCATCAAAGCTTCTTGACTAAAACGAATTTCCAAAATGATTTTCGTCTTGAATAACGGCACGTGGTATTCCCAAATGTGGAAAGAGAAACGAGTAACAATTTGTTTATGCGTATCTAAATTTGTATAAGATACGAGTCGCACAATTTCGGTAAAAATTGCCTATCAAAAAGTACAATAAATCTTTGTTTTCTTTTAAAATTAAATGGAAATACAAAGTAAAATTCTGTAGGTATTCAACTTTAATTTGAATAATTTCAGAGCTGGCATATTGGACTTTCTTTGTGAATAAAATGGTAATGTATTACCCCAAATTTTAGGCATTTTTTTCGTTTTATTCAAAAGTAATTTATTTTGTTTTCTTGTTTTTGTTATTAGACATATTTTAATGTTTCATTTAAAGCTTTTACCTGTGTCTGATTTCTTTATTTTCGGCATTTTCAAGTAAGTTTTTTTCGAACCAATTCAGTTTATATTTTTTATTACAAGCAACATAAACGAGCACGATTAGTAACATTGCGCAAAGAAATGAAAGGAGCGCGTATAACGCGATAATGTAGATTGAAGGTTCCTGTTCTTCATCTTCTATCATTACATCCATTTCCTGCAAAACAAAGAAAGAAAAGCTATAAAGGAAAGGTTTAATCTCGTTTTCTACATGCTTTAAAACCCTTGAGAATTTCTGCACTGTCTACATAAATAAAATAATGACTAGGTCCGACACTGGATAGGTTTTGATCATGTTTTTCTACATGGTTGATTTTATCTCCAATAAAAATTATCACAATATTCCTATTTAATAACGTTTTTGTGTCGTAAATTACCAAAAATGAACACTGTATATCACGTCCTCAAACACTAGGTACTTTTCTACACGAAGAAAATGAAAAACGAAAATTTACCTAAATATTAAAGAGATATTTACAATTTATCTCACTAGCCCGTTGCTTCGTAAACGAAAATAATAAAAATTACAATTTGGACCCGAATTTGTAAAAATAAAATCCCAGCAGAAATAAATTTACTAGGTATTTTAGTTGATATTACAAAATTAATTGTAATAATTAAGAAGCAATCGAAAATTGCAATTTTTGCACTGACATAAAAATTTAGTTTTCTCCGTATACTTCTTTTTATTTCATTTATTCATTATACAAATATTCTCTTGGGTAACCGTAATCTTTACAGACTGTGTATATAGCAATATTGACCTTTGCTCTTTTACGAACTTTGAACTTCAAAGATATATATTATTTAATTTCGTTACCTACACACTTTTCAAAAAGAAAAGCATATGGTGGAGGTGCCGGGAGTAAAACTCCAGCTCGCATTTTATACACTGACAGTGACATAAACTTTACATATTATAAAGCTTCATTTGCATAAAACGTGACCTTTTCTTGAGTCAAAGGTAGGTTAGTAAAGCAAATGTCCTTAAGCAAACAATTAACATTAAATGTCCATGTATTTTATTTAATACAGTGGCGGATGGTGTGTAGAGTCAGAGAAGGGCATCTTACTCAGTTCTATTTGCTAGAAAAGAGGAAGAATTTTGTTTTTGTTGATTTACTTATCTAATGATGTTTTGAAGTTCTGTTTTTTGTACGATAAAAACTCCAACGAAATCTTGCTGTTACGGCAGCCCTTATTACATTGAAACGAAATGATATATCGACTCGAAATTCTGATATTCAACCACTGATAAAAAATATATCACTTATGTCAACACGGGGCTATTTTTTATAATTCTAATTACGCTAATTGTTCGCAAGTTTTTGGGAAATTATAAGTTTCGCTCTAAACAGGGAGCAGTGAAAGTGATTGTCTAACTAATCTTCGGATTGAGGACTTTTTCGTGTCGATTAAAATTTCCTAAGACTTACTTAGGTTCTAAAGGTTTTCCATACTACAGATCACTCAGTGAACGACTTGCTTTTGACATTTTTTTTACTTAATCTTAATGTTATTTCAATAGTAGATCATTATTAAAGGCTAGTTGGTTACCCATACGGCGGTCTTAGAAAACTTGGTATTTCTTCAAAGAATTTATAAATTTTTTCTCCTTCTGAAATCGTTTCTTTGTTGTTTCGAATAAGTTGAAATTGTTTGATGTTCCGGTAAACTTTTGTAATTTCATTAAAGTATTTTGTGCTTGTTCAATTTCTAGATTAATTTACTTTCAGTTTGCTAAGTTTTGGAGCGTTACGTTTGAGTAAAGAATTCTTTAGTTAAGTCTGCTTTTGATTAAGTAAACAAGAACAAATGATTGTGTTTGAAGCTGTGATAATGCAATTTAGACAATAAGCACCAGATATAATGCAAACGCTTATTAACGAACTAACTTCAACTACAAATTTATACAATACTTGTATACCTACCTATCTGCTCTATGAAAGTTCATCTTTAGTATTAATTCTATTTTCCAGATCGTCTTAACATTAAAAAATTTAAAGAATAATAAGGCGCCAGGTGTAGATGGGATACAGGGGGAAATTCTAAAACATGCAGGACAAGAGGTTAGAGATCGTATGTTTAAGTTGGTTGGTCACATTTACGAAACGGGGATAATCCCAGAGGATTATAAACGGAACGTAGTAGTAACATTACCTAGGAAAAGGGGCGCGGATAGGTGCGAGAAATTTCGAACAATTAGCTTAACTTCCCATGCGTCAAAAATCTTAACTAGAATTGTACAGAGGAGGATGGAAAAAAGGGCGGAAGAACTATTAGGGGAAGATCAATTTGGGTTTAGAAGAAATAGAGGAACGCGGGAGGCCATTCTAGCATTAAGGGTAGCAATAGAGAAAACGACAGAAAAAGGAAAGACTGCGTACATAGGATTTGTAGATTTAGAGAAAGCTTTTGACAATGTTAAATGGGACAAGATGTTAAATATACTTAAAAATGTAGGGATGAATTACAAAGATAGAAGAGTGATACTTAGTTTGTATAAAGAGCAACAGGCAGTTATAGAGCTGGGGATGCAACGTAGAGAAGTAAATATTAGGAAGGGAGTCAGGCAGGGATGCACACTGTCACCGCTACTTTTTAATCTATACATCGAAGACGCCAAAAACATCATTAAAGACAGTACAACTGTAGGGATAGACGTGCAAGGGCAAAAGATTAGTATGCTTAGATTTGCAGATGATATAGCAGTATTAGCATCTAGCAAGGAGGACCTAGAGATAGCTTTAAATAAAATGGAAGCGGTACTGACAGATCAGTACTGTATGAAAATAAATAAAAGTAAAAGTAAAATACTGATATGCAAGGGAAGAAAAAGTAGGGAAAGAGCGAATATAAAGATAGGAGACGAAAAATTAGAAAAAGTGGCTGATTTTAGATACCTAGGAAGTCAAATAAGTGAGGATGGAAGGAGTAGTAGGGATATAAAGCAGAGGATAGCGCAGGGTGGTGTCGCCTTTAATAAAAAGAAGTCTCTTCTATGTTCACGAACGGTTAATTTAGAAATTCGAAAAAGGTTGTTAAAGGTGTATGTTTGGAGCACGGGGTTGTACGGGTGTGAAACATGGACAGTGGGAGCGGCGGAAAAGAAAAGGTTAGTAGCGTTCGAAATGTGGTGTTATAGGAGGATGATGAGGATATCGTGGGTAGAAAAGGTTAGAAATGAAGAGGTATTGGAAAGAATAGGAGAACAGAGGACTCTATGGAAGTCAATAAAAAATAGGCGAGATAGGTTGGTAGGACACCTTCTCAGGCATGAAGGTCTAGTCAGAGACATATTAGAGGCAGAAACAGGAGTTAGGAGGGGTAGAGGTAGACCTAGATTAGATTACTGTTCGCAAATAGTTAAGGATGTGGGCTGTTCTAGTTTTAGGGAAATGCGAAGTTTAGCTCAGGATAGGAAAGAGTGGAGGTACGTGTCCAGCCAGTCTAAGGACTGATGAACTTATGATGATGATGATGATGATGATCGTCTTAAAGTTATAGTACTATTGTATTGCATAAGTTATCCATTGAAAAAATGGTAGAAAATCGGAGTTTTTCGTCAGTCATCAGACTTAACATTACAACCAATAGTTAACTTGTTGTTAAACGCGATCTAATTAAAATATCTCTTAGTATTTTTCTTTCTTTGTCCCTTTCTTGTGGCAGAAAGTTGCATAATTTATATTTTGAACGACCAGCCAGATAGCGGGTATCGCCGGGAAGGCCGACATAAGCAATTTAAATGCTAATTTGTCATTGTGGAATTACTGGCTTACTAATTAATTAAAATTATATCAACGTCGCAAAGTTGTCCCAATAATAATAATAATAATAATTTGATAAACTTAAAACCACTCACCGCTACATTTTAACTGCCTCGACGGGAAATTTTGTGCTTTCATGATTAATTCAAAGTTTCTTGAATCGATTATGATAATTTAGTAATAGTAATTGGACCCGGTACTCTCAAAGCTAGCTACGCACAGAACAGTAAAAGACTACAGAATCTGGGAGACGACAAAATAGGTTATTGTGAAGGTCGAAGGACCACAATATATTTTGTAATTCAATCAAAAATGTCTTACAACTGCCTTATATTTTAATGTTGAAACGCTTGACGGTTTTAATAACACAGGGGGACGCAACAAACAGTTCATTGAAGCTCTATTTTTGATTTTCTGATGAACCGAGAGGATTTGGTTGTCGTGGAGGATAATTGTGGGTGTATTATGGAGCTTTTCCCAAATATCTACGTAAGGTATTTCCACCGCATGTTTGGTGTTTTCATAATCTGTTACATTCACTCTAACTCGAAGTGAAACGGGGAGCGAATTATAAATTTAACAGCCTGCCAGGATGGAATCGATTTAACATCTGTCTAATATTGTATAACTTAAGTCTTTACTTGATGTTATGTAAGCTAAATAACAATACTTTGGCGCCGTATCTCGTGCCGATGAAATAACCCATTTTTTTTATTGTTATTTAACAGATTTTTCCATCATTTCCTCTTTTTTATTCAACAGGGAATTTAAGGAACGAATTTACGAAAGAACCAGCGAAACAGTGATAAGTAAAGTAAGGCCAACACCAAAACTTTGCCAGTCTTGGTCTTGCTTATTCGATCTTGGTCTTGGTCTTACTCAAATACTTCTTGTCTTGATTTTGCTGATATACTCTCAGTCTCGGTGTTCATCTTGGTCTTGCGTATTAAGTTTTTGTCTTGCTTTCTTGTTCTTCAAATAGTTTAACTGCTAAATCCACCGAAAGCAATAATTTTTCGTTTAGTCTTGCGAATTTGGTCTTTGTTTTGGGTTTAGTCTTGGTCTTCTTCGTTCGGACTTCGTCTTGATCTTGAATTTTCGCTTTATATATTTAGTTGCAAATCTTCTGACTTTTATGTTAAAGTACAGTATGGTATATTCTTCAAACATACTTCACGAAATTTAGGTAATTGACGATATCTCTAGTTCTTTAGGTATATTTGTGGCACAATTATGGGATTCATTTTACTTTTGACTTCTGAAAACGCTTGTTGTAAAAATAATAAATTTTTAATTTTTCATAATAATTGTGTTTATAGCAGAAAACGTTGGGATTAAAATAATATTCGTTTTTAATCATCATCAGTCCTAAGACTCTTCTCGCATC